TGTTTGATTATACTTTATTAATTATATATTATCTTAAACTAAAATATTAAAGTCTAATTATAAGATTTAAAAATGGTTAATTACATTATATTTGTAATCATAGTATCGTTAGGTTAATTTTCATCTATGAGAAATTATCTATTTTAAAATTGTAGTTTATTATAATTTTGTTCTTAAAAGACATGTTGGTAGATTAAGAGAATATGGTATATATAAACTAGTTTTGATACCAATCCGTGAATGATGTGAGACTTATGAGCCTATAAGAACATATGTCTCATTAAAAAATTAAAGGAGTATGAATAAAACGAGACTCTATCTCCAAGGTATTATCCACGTTGAACCTCTGATTCGTCATAATTTTTTTCTTAAAATGTGTTTTGGTGGTTAAAAAATAAAAGTATATATAAATTATCATTAAACTCGACTTTTAAATAATGTAAAACTTTTCGGATACAAAATTAAGCTTGAAACACTAATTTGACCAAAACTCAAACAAAAGTTAAGATAAATAATGTTATTTATAGAGATCAGTCTATAAATGAGATATAAAAAAAATACAAATAGATAAGACTATAGAATTACTAATAAGCACAAATTAAGATAAAAGAGAGATATTTAATAGTCATGACTCTAAATTTTAATTTTTTAAAATAATTTATAATAATAATAATTATTATATATATATATTATATTTATTAGTCTTACATCATTTAAAAATAAAAAGAAAAAAAATTTATATATACCATTTTTTTCTTAATCTACTAAGACTTTTTTAAAAATAAAATCGTGATAAATATTACCTCAAAAGTGAAAATTAGTCCTAATGATACCGTATAACTCAACTTTTTTTAATAAAGAACCAATTCAGTCAATAAATATTATAAGAATTATCTCATTTTTTTAATCACTCGTTACATCTAAAATCTTTTAAATACATGAAAAGAATACAATATTTTTTTCTATGTATTATCGTATGTATATACATAAAGAAAGAAATATTATACATAAAAAAAACTATATAGTAAATATAGATGTGATTTATGTTTCATTTCCAATTTTTATAGTTTTTAATGTTTTTTTTAATAATTATGTTATTACATTCGATTTTGAGGGTGTACGTGGATAAGAACGAGATAATAATTAAAAGACGAAATAAGTTACGACAAATTTCATTAAATGAAAAGATATATAATTTTGAAGTCGTGCATTGAACATAACTATGGATTACAAATTATAATGGTCTTAATGTTGAGCTACAGAGGCATTGTACAACTCATTTTTTGTGAGCAATTAGTAGAAACTTGAAGGAACCACTTCAATTAGAACCCTAGTTTGCAATTGCTAACTTTTTTACTTGAATTGCACCATTTTTATTATTATTTTCAAGTATAACTTGTGATATTCCATTTTTTTCATGTACAAGTTGTGTTTGGATTGAATATTTAAAACTTATTACATTAGCTTACATTAGGAGATAGCCATAACATTATGAAATTAGTTTTAGAAAATTTCAATTTCAATAATTAATGTAATAGTGTTATATAATTGTCAAATATCAAAAAGATATTTTATTGATTTTTTCAGGAAGGCCAATAGTTTAAATATTTTAAACAAAAATTTTACTTGTATTTTTTTTTATTTAACATTTTTAAGTTGGTCCTTAAATAAGGTTTTTTACCATTATCAAAAAAATAATGTTTTTGGAAACTTAAAAACTAAAATACATTTAACATTTGTTAAGATTTAAATAGGAAGATTTAACATCTTCAATTAATGTTGTTATAACTGCAATGCTTGCAACTCTCGTGTTTCTTAATCTACCGCGTCGTTTGCATCTATTATCATGTCCACAATGTCTACCTCTCTTCGATTGTGTCCAGTCTCTAGCCTCCATTGTATTCTTCATCTTTGCTATATTCACTACATTCACATCTATCATATTTATTATATTTGTTGTGTTCATGAGTTAAGTCATGATAACATAAGTCAGATTGAATACATATATTCTCGATTTAACCTATGATTAGTAGCGGATTTTCTTGGGAGTTAAGGAGGCCGTAGTCTCCAAAATTTTATAACTCCCATGTAATTTATGATTTTGGTCCCCAAACTTAATAAATATTTAATATATTTACTTGTATATTTACAATTCTATCCTTTCAGATTCCTCCTCAATTTTGTAACTCCCATGTAATTTATGATTTTGTCACCTCAAACTTAATGATCATTTAATATATTTAAATATATATCTACAATTTTATCTTTTTACCCTTTCATCTTTTTTCTTCCTTTTATATTTATTTATTATTTATTAATAATATATTATTTGGTCCCCCAAAGACCAATGGTTAAGATCCATCACTGCTTATGATTAGTCAATATTAGCTTATTTTGATACATTATCTTATAAAATATTATAGATATTTTATATTATTTTCTAATTATTAATTATTGTATAAGTAAAATTTATATTTAAAATTATTTTAATTAGTTAACCGTATAAAAAAATAATTTTAAAGTTCTTCTTGTCCATCTTTCAGGCTATATCACCTCACGCGGACGAAGCTTCTGAGTCCTTTCTAAAACCCTAGGTGTGTTCTGTATCTTTCATCACCAATTAAAGAAATAATAATAATAATAAAAAAACATGTATGTCAATATATTGAAAAAATATTTCAAATATAACTTTAAATTTTTACTACAGAATATGTCAAAGTTAAATAAAAAATTAGTCATATATTAAAATTTATATTTTTAAATATTATACATGATTACATAATTAATGTTATATTTTAAATTTTGCATAGAAAAATAAATATTTCACTTGCTATATACATTAATAATTTTTTTTAAAGTTTAACTTCAATTTATCTAATTAAATAAGTTTAAGATTATATTTGCACGAGCTTTTCCAATGATTTTTTTTAAAGAAATAAAATAAAATATAGTTTATCAGTATTTTAAATAAGGTTTTTGTCTCATATTCGTTTTCACTCAATTAAAAGATAAGTAAAATCTGATTAATTATTATCTTGGTAATTGGTATATTGTTTAGTTTCACTTGTTTATTTAATATAATATTTTTTATCATTTGTTTTACTTTGAATATAAATGATTTGAGAATCTATTTTTACATAAATAACTAAATGACAACCATTTTTTAAATTCTAAATACACTTATTATATATTATTATTATTATTATTATTATTATTATTATTATTATTATGTTAATATATGATGGTTATTTGTGAGTTTTTTTTTATCTAGTTCTCAGTATTGAGTGTGACCCTTTTATTTGCGGTACGTATTTCATTAATTTATTTTATGAATCGCTTTTAATTACGACCCCACAGTTTCCTGTTTATCTACACGAGTTTTTTCCGTGACAATCCAAACACATCTCAACCATTCAAACTTCATTAGAAAGTCTGAAATTTTGGTTCCTCTTCAAACACTTTAACGTGATTCCATAATTAACATGTGTCCCTCAAATAGATAATTAATCGTTATCCTTTTTAAGTGCATCAATTATAATTTAATTTCTATTTAGGATTATGTTTTACGAATTAATATTTAATTGTTACTTGGACTCGAAAGTAAACGACATTTTTTTACAAAACTCAATTCAGATATCCTTAATGTATTAATTATTTTTAAAACAAAACATCTTTAATGAAAATTAATGAGAAGTGACAAACATTAAAGACAAGAAATAAATATTAATGATTATAGAGAATAATTTAAACATAATATAAATTTATTATCATCAATAGAATTATTTGTTTAAATTTATAATGAAATGAAGTAATTAGATGTTATAAATGAAAAAGTAGGTTTAGAATTAATAATAAATATGAATATGAGACTTGCGAGACAAATTTAACTTTTTCTATAAAAGATCTAAAGCTAACCAAACATCTGGGGTACCCCATATAGCTAGGTACTCCTTTATTTCATGGTACTATTCTACTATCCCAATATTTTACTGTAAATAACCCCCTAATTTTTTGGGGCAAGGACAGTTTACAAGTAAGAGTAGTACTGCACAAACTATGTTCAATATACACATTTTTTTTCTGCCACAACTTTCTCTGCACTTAACTTCCAAAAATTACTGTAACCACTGTCTCTAACATGGTATTAGTAATTCAAACAAAAGTCATACATCAACTATCAACTACAAAAACTATTTAATCTTTAGATAAATGTTAAAATTTGACTTTATAATAGTTAAAGAAATTATTAGAGTAACAATTTCTCTTATTAAAATTATTTAACATCTTGTACTCAAAATAAAGAATAAATAAACACTTCGTTCAAAAAATAAACAGGTTTAATGTGATCTATTTTTTATAGTTCTCCATCGTACTTAATAGGGCCTATCTGTGAACATTTTTCTTACATAATTTTTCTTATTATATATTAGAAACGTCCAGATAAATATGATATTAAAATGTGATTACTCCAACTAAGTGACTTATAGTAGTTAAAATGAAAATAGTATTTTCCCTTTAAAAAATATTGCATTTTTATTTATGGTTCTGATATTTATTATCTTAAAAATAAAAATAGAAATCGATAATGGTATTTTTAGTGCTATCTTTTATCCATTGGTAAGTGGATAGAAAAATGGTTATCATTATAGCCATGAGTATTGGGGTTCATTTATTGTTGACAATCACGTTAGAGAAAAAGTTTGAGTTGATGACAGTATTATAAAAAATAAAAATAGATTGAGTTGATAAGATTAGACCGGTCAAATGTACTGTCTCTGCATGAGAATGAGTTACTGCATAAAGATTTCTGCATTTTATGTGGCAAAGATCTTTTATATATAGGCCTGGCTTCTGAGTTTTGCACAGACCAACTTTTGCTGAGTCCAAACTACTGATACACCTGCATACTGCAAACCTTTGAGTATCACCCTTGCTTTTCTTCTTCCATCACTTTCCTCACCACATTCATCTTTGATTTTCCAACCCAAACCTCTCATCAAATGGCAGCTTTTTCACCCCAACACTACCGTCCCTTTCTAGTTGACTCCCCATGCTTCTCAATCAATCCTCCCCTAAAGAAACTCTCTTCTTTCGGGGACCAACAACCCCTTATAAACACTACTTCTACCCTTCCTCCTTCTCATTATTTCCACAATACTCTTCACCAGGAAACGTCTCATAGTGTCACTAATCAAGAAACTAGCTGTGTCGATCAAAGCTCCAAGGCTACCATCAGTGACACTGAGCCTTCTGTGGTAAAAAACTACAGTCCTGAGACATCCATGGTTGTGGACAAGCTTGAAAAAGGTGAACAGGTCACTCAGAAAGTGACCCCTACGCAGAAGAAGAGAAGGGCAAGAAACGGATCTTCCTTGAGCAGCCCCTTATCAAAGGTAAACTTTTTTAACCATTTTTTATTCTTTCCTTTTCTTCAAACACATGTTAATTAACACAATGATTGTTAAATAATATATGTCAACACACACACACATACACACTCTTTCTTTCTAATTAAAGTATTTTTTGTAATTAACTTTAAGCTGTTAGAAATTTCACTCCTTACTTATGATTTTATAATTTCTTTTTACAAATGTTAACCTATAGTAGATAGTGAATTTAGAAGAGGTTTTTTAATTACTTTAAAAATTACTATAGGACTCAGCAGAAGGGGTAAACAAGAAACAAAATCATAGGAATGGTGGGGTGAAAGGAGAAAACAAGCCAAAAGAAGTGCAGAATGATCAGAAAAATGGTCCAGAAGATCCTCCAACGGGGTATATCCACGTTAGAGCAAGAAGGGGTCAAGCAACGGATAGCCACAGCCTTGCTGAAAGGGTACAATGCATCACTCTCAACAACTATATTTGAATGAGTGTGTGTATACATGTATGTTTCAGTATTAGGTGACTAGTTGAATATATGAACCATAATTTCTATAATGCCCCAAAAAAAATCATGCTTCATTGTGAATGTTGCAAAAGAAATAATAAGTAGATTATTTCAGGTGAGAAGAGAGAAAATAAGTGAGAGGATGAAGACGTTGCAGCGACTTGTGCCAGGCTGTGATAAGGTGAAGTTTCACTTCTTTAATCTTACATGTTTGAATTGCATTCATATATATCTTCCACGAGACAGTTACTTGTTTCTATCAACCCTTCTCGACAGCAACGTTTGATTTGCTTCATAAATGTTATTAGGTGACCGGAAAGGCCCTTGTGTTGGACGAAATAATCAATTATGTTCAGTCCTTACAGAATCAAGTGGAGGTAGTGGCACCACAATTATATGAAGTTCTTTTTTGTTTTTGTTTTTTTTGTTTTTTCAAGTTACTCCACATTGTTCATTACTTTTAATGTCTAAACCAACGATATTGCTTTTTTATTCTTCTGCAGTTCTTGTCAATGAAACTTGCTTCTGTGAATCCCATGTTCTTTGACTTGGCAATGGACTTAGACACCCTCATGGTGAGACCTGATCAGGTGAGAAAAATAGAACACATTTTTACCTTTCCATGTGCTAATGATAGATAGATATGTATATATATTTGTGGTTTTCTGAAATAAGTGTAATGATGAAACTTTGTCCCACTGAATTTCAGAAATTAAATAATGTAGCATCACCATTACCATGTGTAGCACAATGCAGACCAAACCAGGCCATTGCTTTTGCTGACACAACCACCCTGACCACCACTACCAGCAGTTTCCCTACCACAAATAATGATGACTATCTTTTAGATTATTCATCCTCACCTTTTCTTCAACCCCAGAGGCCAAATGTCTTCTTTGAGGTATGTTAGATTAATCAAACCACTTCTTTATTGGTTTAAACTTTGTTTATGATCTTTTGAAGGTATGTTAAAAACTTCTACCATATTCTAAGAGGAAATTTCGAATAATTCATTATAATTTTTTTAAAATGGTAAACTGTTGTATTGAATTTTTATTACTATTTGATCCAGGGTCGGATTCTTGTTAATCCAAATGTTACAATTTAAAGCAAGATAAAGACATAAAGTGAAACAAATATGGAATTTAAATTGAAATGAAAAAGAAAGAAAATTTTGAATTTTGGTTTTAAAAGGTCAATTTTTTCTTTTGTCTTTTACTTTTTCTCATCCAAAGAGATTAATTAGTATAATAGATTTTTTTTGGTGGATAACTTACTAGTATTGGAGAATTAAAAATATTTGAAAAAATGGGCAAAGGATAAATAATTAAGAGAGATATGGAAAGGTTTTCTCTTTTCCTATATTCTGACAAAAACATAATTTTCAGTATAACGGTGGTCAGATTTGGGAAGTAGACCAACGACAGAAGTTTCTTCATCCATATGGATTCGCCAATAATTCTGGTTCTTTCAACTAATATCAATCTTTCACAGATGTGCCTTTCAAGTCCACACTCATCATTCTGTAAGCTCTCAATAACTCATACATTGTAATAACATGATCTTGTTCTTATTACTTAACATAGTAGGTTGGGAAATTCCAAACAGGTACTAGTATCTCAGGAAAAAGAATTTCATATGCATGAAAGATCAAAGCTATGGTTGGTATCACAGTATATGATCATTTTGAAGGGAGTTCGTGATTTTGTTTGGTTCCTTGTTTGTCCACCAAAGTAAAGAGACCTTTGAAGACTATGAATAAATGCAGCAAAATTACTGGATGAAGAACACACTCACTAAGGACAGAAAATGCCGACCAAATAAAACCATATCTTTTGCTGGATCCATTGTTCTGTTCCTGTCCAACCATATATGATGCACAAATTCCAAGAAACTGTGTCAATCCTACAGACATTGAAATTTATGTCATGTAAATTAATTATATATGTTAATTATTAGAAGAAAGATGATTCTTGTGGTGGCAGTTATTCTGTTGATACAGTTAATTTCACCGTTACTCAGAAATTTAAGGCTGATACTACTCATCAGCTTTTGACAAGACAATGCATGCATTTCTTGGTGTAGTTCAATTCATCTATATTTGCAGAATCTTTTGAGTTTTGTCATTATTCTGGTTTCTTTTTCCAATTTTGTCATTTGGGCCGTTTCATTTTCCGACATTATAGACAGATCCTAGGTACTCTACCTATGGTCTAGTCATAACTTAAACCCACGCTAATATCAAGTTAGAAAAAGAAAAAAAAAAACATGAACTAAGAAAATCTACATTTGGTCTCCATTTGTTGAATTGAAGCAACTCATAGATGAATAAGAAGATATAATTTGTTTACTATTTTGATTAGAAAGCCTTACAACATGAAGGATATGTTTATTTTTGTTCTTTATCAAAGGGATTAACATTAATTACTAATTACAAAAATAATGGACTTCACTGTTACTTTTAATATCAAAATGGTTGTTGTTAACTCTGTTGTAACATAATTATCAGAATTGTGTAATTGAATATAGAAGAAAAAGAAAAGAGAGAACAAGAATTAATTTCTGAAGTTTCTGAAATTAATGTTACTTTATGTTGGGACAGGTGAAGGCAAGTTCTTCGTAATGTCTTCATCAGGAAAAATGTCACTGTTTCTTTAAGAAGAAAAATATCGAAAGTTGTTGTGATGTCCCTATAAGCAAACACGTTCGATTTCACTGTTCAATCAGTTTATTGGCACGTATTTTGGTTCTAACGTGCAAAACTTAGTTGCGTGAAATGCTCCTCCTTTACATTTTTGAACTAAAAAAGAAAGTTTTCAATCCAATTTCTGATAATGAAATTAATATTATGTTCAATTTAGTCTATAATTCTGAATTATGAGTAGTCTTTTATATGAAAATCTATAATAAATTGTTTTTTTCAGTGCAAGAACCATTTATTAATTATTGAACTAAAATATTATTTTTAACATTAAAAATATTATTCTTTATAATAGCTAATTTATATTATTTATATATCAACATGAAAAAACAAAGAAGGGAGGGTTACTATGATCTTGAAATAATTTGAAATTTATTTGAGTACAGTGATTGGTTTGATGTTTAAAATTTTAAATGTGAAAAATAAAAATTATTTTAAATAATTTTGTCTGGGAATTTACATTTAATTTAATTGATATCAAATCAAATATGAAATATTTGAAAGTTTGGAAGCTCTGTCATGGAGTTAAAATATAAATGAGTAATATTATATAAGTGTTTTTCGAAATTGTTGAATGAAGGGTTATCATTAAGCAAAAAATCATTACTAATAAATATAGGAACTTGTATTGTATCTTACAACCATCTCTACTTCAACAATGATTCTATTAACCCATCATATCCTCCATCTTCAACCGATTTGAACAATTTTTGGATTAACTTAAACTTTCATTGATTCATCATCAACAATATTATTAATTTTAATTGTCCATTTAGAAGAATTGTAGACAAAGATTGTATCAAGAGATTGTAAAAGAAACATGGTGGTTGTGAAGATGAAGAAATAAAAGGAAAGGGAAATGAATGTGCTCGAATCCAAAACCAAAAGGAATCTTTTCATGAAAATGTGAAATTGTGACGTGACACAAACGAATGTAATTTTGCTGTCAAAAACAGCAGAAAATGTCTCCCAATCAACCCAATCAAACCAATGTCACAACACAACATAACACAAACACACCCAGCACTTGATTAATTTTGACTCATCTATTAACTGTGTGTGCCTACAACCCTATCACATGTCACCGTCCAAACCCTACCTCACTTCGATGCATCTATTCATGACAAAATCAACGTTTACAAGTTTTTCCCTCTTCTATTATTTACGACTATGTTTTCAAATAAAGGTAAATTTCATTTCATCATCATCACATCTCATATATATATACATGAAGCTTTGAAGTTTAAAAGACTGTAACCTTGCACCATATAATAATGACCATGACCAACCACGTACATATTCCTAGATTCTTCCATTTCATATGGTGCCCTTAATACAAGTCAAAAACTTCAAGACAAATATAATCATTAATACTTCATGAATTTGTATGTCATGGATAAAACTGAAATGAATTATAATTCTAAAATACATAATATTTCATATATAAAGATTGATATATTGATTATATTATAATAAATATGAGATTGGACACTCATTTCTAGATAGATGATATTTTAGAAGTGATGTTGATATAATTCCTAAAATTATTTTTTTAAATTGGGTAAAATATTTTTAAATAAGATAAATATGATTTGGGTTCTTTATTTTAATTTTTTTCCTTAATCTTTTTTTTTCTTATTTTCTGTATCATATTTATAAATTTATAAAAATAACCCTTAAAATATTAAAAATAAAAATAATCGTATCAATGCAACTTATTATTCTTAAAAGTTTTTTTTTAATATATTCAATCTTCATTAACCTCTAATAATATGGAAAATGTATATATTGAAGAATAATTAAGTGAATAAATATAAAAAATGTTTACTCTTATGTACCAAAATGAAATTATTTAATGTAAATGTAAATAAATCACTTAAATGACATGATGAGACTTATCATATCAAGCTAATCTGTTTGTTTGTCCGTATTACTATGCCGACGTATCTGATTCAGTCTATTCCTCTTTTATATAAACATTGTGATTAAGATGTTTCAAAATTGAATGAAGTCTTAAAATGAAACATTTTCACGGGTCCTCACAAAGCTAGCTAGAATGTGATTTTGGCTAATGTCAATTGAGATTCAATCAAAAGTCATAACCAATAATGTATCTGTAACATCATGCATAATATGTATAAATGTTGGTTTAATTTGCACAAAGTTATAAGCTTTTCTGGTAATAACAAAACATTATAAGTTTAAATCTTATTATTGTCATGGTAAAATTAATGTAAATATGTGTCAAATTCCCACGTCTATTTGTCCCTTTCTATCTTGATGACCAACCAACAAATTTAGATCACTTGGGACATGGGATGTCCATACAGTGAACTTGCCCTACTCCAAAATCTATCATCGTGTCCCCTCTTACAGTGGCAGATTTTATTGGGAGTTGAGGGATCGTAGCCCTCAAAGTTTTGTAACTCCCATGTAATTTATGATTTTGACACTCTCAAATTTAATGAATATTTAATATATTTACTTGTATATTTATAATTTTATCCTTTCAGTCCTTCTTCAGTTTTGTAACTTTCATATAATTTATGATTTTATCCCTTAAACTTAATGATCATTTAATATATTTAAATATATATTTATAATTATATTCTGTCATTTTTTTATATTTATTTATTATTTATTAATAATATATTATTTAATCCCTCAAAATCAATAATCAAGATTCGTCATTGCCCTCTTATATCATCATTTTCACATCCCACTCAATAAAATTCTTATTTTGCATATCAAACATTCATTACTCATTCATCAAATGGATTGGCTAATGTAAGAGGGGGCGTCTGAATAACACTTCCATTTGTTAAGGGTATAAGCTCTTTCAAACGAGTTGATCTTTGAAAATTGGGCTCCTTCTTCAAATGTCTACCCGATTGTAAATACTTTCTTTTTGCACCCCATATTTTCTTTATGCACCCCATATTTTGAAAGAGTTTCAGAATCAGCGTTTTTGAAAAACTTCTGGAACGATCAAAATATTCTGGGAAACTCGTTCCCGAAACTTTCTGAAAATCTCATTTTCTATAAACTTTCCCAAAAACTCATTTTGGAAGTTTTCCAGAAATTTTTTGGATTGATCATTTTAAAAGCTTTTCGAAAACTAATTCTAAAACGCTTATGAACATGTCAATCTGAAATATTTATGAAAAGTCCATTTTAAATTTTTTTCTAAAGAGTAGATCCAGAATAATAATATGCATATATTATAGCATGGGCATGGACACTCATCGTTAAGATGGTGTGGACAACACTAATATTTCCTCAAGCACAAAAAAAAAGGAGCTACAAGGCCATGAAGGTGCACATAGAAGTTAAAAATACACATGACATTTTTTATTTATTTAACATAGATTATGGAAATACCGAAAAAATGTTCTCCAATTATGCACGCATTGTGTTAATTGGATTGGTAACCCGTGTTTTTTTTTAATAATTTTGAATAATATAACTATCATTTTTAATAGTTAATTTGTAAATATTTACTGTTTTAGACTTAAGATATGTAAATTGACCTAAGAAGGTGAAGTCATGATTATAATTAAGTGTAGCGTGATTTCACCAAATTAATGTTTATTTAACTAGTGAAAATAAAGTTATTATCTACAAATCATAGTATAATTTTCAGTTATTTTTTGGTGGTGACCAAATTTTGAAAGGTCTCAGCATAGTTCATAGGATATGCCATTGAGGTAGAAAGAACAATAAGTGTTGTGGGGGAAGAAAGTGACGATTTAAAGCAGAAGAACCCCCTGTATTATTTGCTTGCATCTGAAACAAAATTGAAAATTAAAAATATTACAAAGTTGAAAGCACGTGAAGACATATATTAAATATCCTATCATAAACTTGAAGGAGAATATTGGAATAATGCATATATTAGTAATTAGGGCTATATGCTTGCAGCGGTAGAGTTGACAATTTATCTGTGTGACCACAATTTTGAAGTCAATCCTCTTTTTTTTCATTTCATTTTATTTAAGGAGTTTCTTTTTTCCCATAAAGGAATATAATGGACTAAGTCAACTATTAAATTGACCCTGTTTATGAACTAATATTTTGTATATTTTGTGCTCAATAACCCCATTTTTCACTTCATCAAAATGAATTTGTGTAATCCTTTTATTTTTAATATATGAATTTTCGAAACATGGTTTGATGAAATCTAGCCAACCATATAAAATAATATGATATCACTTTCATCGCAAAACTTTAAAACATTAGGTTATATCTCCTTTTATCTTTAATATATGAATTTTTTATAATATTGTGTGATGAGATCTAAGTCAACCATATAAGAGAATATGACACCACGCTTATCATAAAACCTTAAGATATTAGGTTATAGGTCCTTTTGTCTTTAATATATGAATTTTAATAATATTGTGTGATAGGATCCGAAATAACCATATAAAAGAATATGACATCACATTTAATATAAAATCTTAAGACATTACGTTATAGGTCTTTCTCACTTATAATCATCGGGATTGATAGTAATCTTAAATCTTTCGAAGGAACTAACAAGAAAATTATCACAAATAAAACACGAGTCAATTACATGAGAAAATATGATATTATCTTTAAAAAAAATATTAAGATATTGGTTATGAATTTTTCTTATATATTGGTAAACTTTTTCATTCATTCTTACGTGGGATATATAATCATACTTTCTTATTGTTATATAGGCCTGTTGATAGAAATTCAATGAAAAAAACCAAATCCTTTGTAAAAATATCAACGAAAACTTAAAATATTAGCATAATATAATATATTGACATAAAAAGTAATAGAAACTTAAGTTTTAGATAACAACAAAACATATATTATAATTTAGTTTTTATAAAGAATATGAGTGAAGAAGAAAAAGAAAGAGATGGAATGTCAGAAGGAACAGATTGAATGCAAGTTGCTTAATCAACATGCATACTGTGGTAGTACCTGCAGACGATTCTCCCATTCTCATCCCTGTCACGATATCAGCAAACAACAAGCACATTGATACCATGCATCATGGTCCCTTCTAGCTAGTTTTTGACTTTGTGAACTTATTCTTCTATCTCTATCTCCCCCTTTCATCATACTTCACTCTGTGTGCAATGAGAAGTCATATATATGGATATGAGACCAACTAAAAATAAAACATTCGATGACAGCAAGGGACAAATGATGTACATAAGATGCTGATGTTTTGTGCGAGGTGTAGGTTTAGCTATAAATAGGGGGTTTGTGATTGGTTGTTGACACAAATAAGAACTGAGATAGAGATGAGAGAAGGGGTCTTGCATGTAGACAAGAGTCATGTCTAGTAGCCAAGGATGACTTGCCTAGTTTCCATTCCCTGGGACTTTGGTTTGTCTCATATGAACAAGAGATATGGAGACCCTTGTTTGGTTAATTGGCAAGTTTCCATGGCTATTTGCATCCCTCTTGTCTTACTTGTTAGACCTTCTTTACTCTTGTACTTACCATATCCTCCATAATTGGTCATCCTTTAAAGCCACTGATGGCTCTTCAATGAATGTGCTGCATTTTTTGTTTGTCATCACTTATACTCAGAATGGTATGTGGTAATTCTCCTCACTGGTAGTGCCTTCATTGGAGATTTTCAGCAAATCATTCTTGACATGTTGATATTTTGGATTCAGAAAAAAAAAAAAAAAAAAATCATTTCGAACTTTTATGTATAAACCTTCAGGCTTGTGCAGTAGATGCAAGGGCTTGAAGGAACTGTTTCTATATATTTTTAGGGTTTCAAAAGGTTGCTAGAATACGTTAAGAACTGAAACAATAATGCTAACCCCGTGTCTTCATCAATTTTTTCCTCTTCAAAACAAGTGCAGAGGCTAGAAATTAAGGATCATGATTTTACCATTAATTAATCCGAATCAACATTTTTCTAGGGGAAAGAGAAGAGAATGTTCAGCTAATTTTACCTCAAAAACCTATTGCTAGCATATGTATTGGTTTGTATTCTTTAGAGCAATTGTCATACTCTTTGTTTCAAATATTTAAAATTTAGATGTAATAGCTGATATTTTAAAATAATATTTTTTATTATGATATCATGTTGTGAGAACAAAATTAATACATAGGTTAATTTTAATTTTATTTTTATAAAAATAAGTGGTACTACGTGAAACCCAAACTTTACCCACTAGGTCATTGATATTCCAACTTCAATTCAACTTTTAAGAGGCAAAGTTACATGCAACCAAACCAATTGGGTGCCCCCTCCCCCTATTACTTATATTATGAAACGAACTAAATCAATTGAACTAATCTCATTTAATTGTCTAGTTAAGCATAATTTATTTTATCTAAAAAATAAATTAAAATCAACCAAAGCCCTTTTTGCTTTCAATGACCCAATTAGCAATAAATTTTGCCCAATATTCTATACCTGTAAAAAGGAACAATCAATACATACAAGAGTATTAGTCTGCTTTTTTTATTAGCAAACTAAAATATAATCATACAGAAGCTTTATTCATTTTTCTGGTTTAATTCTTAGAACAATTTAGATCGGAAAAAAAAAAACCATCTTATAGTGGTTGGTAGAACTTACTGTTTGTCAATAACAATTCGAGTGTTTTGCCTCCTCGGTAATGACTTATCCTTATTTAGTACGAGTTTTGAAATTTGCAATACATTAGAAAAAAAAAAAATTGTATAAAGACATTGTTGTCAATTAGAGGGTTGTGAAGGAGTATCATAATTAACCATTGTTGTAGAGAGTTAAGGTTTCTCAAAAAACTGTAACTCAGATTACGTGCAAGTGATAGAGAATTTGTCCTTCTTTTTCATTTTCTTACCAAACGTCATTTGAAAGACAGATACCATAAATTATTTTGCATGAAACCAAAGCAATGCTAATCAGTTCAATTCCTATATGTGTATAGGAAAAGATTGTTAGAAGAATAAAACAAAAACTTCGATGATATACAGGCTGGTAAAGAAACTACAGATAAAAATAAGCCGATTTGTTTGTGACCATTTCTCGAGAAGGATTGTCGTAATTCTCTTCTAAAGCTTGAATAAAAGAGACTATGAACAATTAAACACCATGTCCCATGACACAGTTTCTCTGCAGACTTTTCATCTCGAAGGAAAGTGGAAAATTTCCCCATCGAAATTTGTATATGTTGATTGATAATGGGATAAAAAAACAAAAGATGGAGAAAGTTTCCTACACAACGTATTCATTTCATAATGGACAGACAAAGCAGAAAACATGCTGGGAACCAAAAGGGTCTACTTCTAGTCACCTAGAAAAGTCACATGTATATACATGATACTTTACAGGTATCCCATTTATACTAAGGATAAAAGTTGGGTCTAGCGAATTCAGTAACTAAAAATAAGGGTGGGGTACCTTCTATTGAAAAATCACATGTGCTCGCAAAATTAAAGCATGCCATGGTTTTATCAAGGCATGATTTCAAACAGAGGCCAGTAGTTGCAAGAGGTTCAAAATGAAACCGTACTCCATACAAATCAGTGTCAGGAGGTTACTTGATAGTGATGTAGCGATTTGTTCCGTGTCTGGCCCAGTACTCCTTAAGATCTAACGGTATAGATAAATCATGGCCTTCTAACACCAACCTACTGAGAAGTCTCGTAAAGACACTCCCACTCATCTTTCGTCCTCCAATGCGAGCATGGCGCTTGTTTGGAAGCTGTGGTAATGGATACATAGACAATGTTGTGGTACAACAAGATGATTGCCATCCACCATTCCCCCATTTGTAGCACTGTCGTGGTGTGCCAGTACATGTGCAAACTGGAACCGGCATGGTAGTTTCATCAAATGTAACCAAATTCAGGCCAACATCTTGCCTATGCCATTCAGATCTGATCTTTGTACCTTCAAAAGATGCCTTCCTATTTAAATCCTCACCCATTTTCTTTACTTTGTAGGGTGGGTTTGATGCCTTGGAAGTAATTACCTTGTTCTCCTTTGTTCTCTTTGCTTGATGAGATTTGACAGCTTCAGAAGGTGTAACGCTCACTGGGGAGGCATCCTTTATCATCATGTCCCTTGTTTTGTATGTGGATTCAGACATGTTAGATAGATGGTTTGAAGAATGGTGCATTCGTTTCGATCCACATTGAATTCCACTGCCAAATGGAAAGTTGACAGAATTGTTCCGACTCTGAAGGGCTGCAAGGGCATTATCCCGTTCCAAAAGGGCATTATCCCTTTGAGCAAGTGCTTCATCCCTCTGCCGAATGGCTGCATCTCGAGCAGCCAAGGCTTCATTCTTTTCAGATATTGCAGTCTCTAGTTCAAGTTCTAGAATGGCAGCCTGCCTTTCAGCCATAATGGACCTAATCTTCTTATTCATAACTAGTGCATTTGGCTCTTTCACTTGATGCTGGGAATCAGTATTCCACTGCACATGCAAAATCCAATCCAACTAATGAATTAAGTGACCAGTAGTGCAAAGCTTTAAAAAAAGCAACACAAATTTATGCATTCTATTTACCAGGGAATGTGCTCCTCTATAGTATTCCATCTTATGCCTATCATTTTCATGTTGACGGCCATCATCCATTTTTCATCCAGAGGATTTTCCAACAGATGTTGTAGTTGGAGTCACGAAGTCTTGGGGTTTAATTATTCAACAATGTCCAGCTGAAAGGAAAATCCAGTTAACAATGAGAAAAGCAAAAGTTCGGTATTGGTTCAATAAATAGTGTTAAATGGAGATTCCACCAGTCTCCAACAATGAACTATAACTCAACCTTTCCTATTTCCACTTTCTCAGCTATAGATTTATATAGTGGAACTTAGGAACATAGACAGTGAAACAGTTAATTTCTGTTGCTTGTAGGCAAAATTCATTAAACATGACAATTTTTGACATACGACTAACACCAATGTACATTAGACGTTGAGAACATAATAGACACAAATAAAAAACCGTGATTAATACCAATACATCACAATAATTTTCTTTAGGGGGAGAGGGTGATGGGTTACTTATCAGATATTGCAAATCTAAAACTCTTCATTTGAACAGAAATAGTTTTGTCAAATCCATACCTGAACACAATCCTCTACTCTATTCTAGCAAAAAGGAATCAGACCATGCCCAAAAATTTAAAACTTTTAGACTTAAAACATCAATATATTTGTGTGTGTCATGCACTTAAAAACATTATAATATAAACAAGAACATTCAAAGAAAGTTACTGTGAACAATTAAAATTAGCAAGACTAATAATATATCAAACATAATGTATGGGGGATATTTTAAAAACTTCAACCTTATTTCCAAAGAGTAGCCAGAAGGAGTACCCCGTATTGCTTACAGGTAAGTGTCCATTTTTTCTTTTCACTTAAGTTTCACTATGCACGACATACTGAATTTTTTGTTAATTGTTATTGTTGTTTGTGAATATGTTGGACACAATTTGGCAAAATGAGAGTTTGCAGTTTTACAAAATTCATTTAATATAACATTTTCAGAACTTTACATAACCTCAAGTAGCATAATGAGAAAAGAAAATATGTATAAGCACTAAGCAAGTATTACTGCTTTAGTATAGCTTCTGGGAGTGAATTAACTTTGCACTATACAGTACAATCAAGAACAGAACAATGTATAAGTTGCTTAGGGGAAAAAAAGAAAGGCAAAAGCACATAAGCAAAGACCTGATTGTTTCACAAGCTGGCAATGAGAAAATGGCCATTTTCTCACTGCAAATGACAGAAACAAAACAGGCCATAAAATGGCAAACCTTACATCTAGTTACAACAGTAATAAAGCTAATGTATGGTCTTGTCCACCAAGCTTAAGTAATCATATTCGAAGCACAGTATTCTCAATTTCTCATATGTCTCCAATTACTCACAGAATATGCAGGTTAATAATTGATGCTATAGGCACCTCAAAAACACCATGATGCATGGGTTATAACTTTTAGAAGAACATATTATTATTTAGTCTTTGTCCAAAAAGTTACGATCTCCAACTGTCTAAGGATAAATAACATGCCATAAACACTTAATAGAGACATCACTAATTAATCGCTCAAAACATACCAAGAAAAAGTTATTTCACTATCATTGACAAATCCCTCCCAATATTTCCTTAACATGAATCATACAAACAGAGTCCCAAGAAAATTTTCAATTCAACGTGGCCAAAAATTTGGTAATTCTCTATTATAAGTTATCATAATTATAGATTGCTACAGGGAGACAGGGAGAAAATACTACATATATCTGAATTATGAAATACTGTTTGTGCCCAATATATATGGCAAAGAAGAGGCTTTTATAGTCTCATGGCTAATAAAAAAAATCCTTAATTCAAGAGCAAGAGCCATGGGATAGTGCCCAAAGAGAGAGAGAGAGAGAGAGAGAGAGAGAGAAGCAATCAATAAACTATAAAAGCAGAAGAAAGCACAAAAGAAATTATTCGATCCAGATTACTATAGCCATCTAAGTGAAAATTCAGCAAATTCTCTCCAGTCCTGCAGTCCCTACAGCAACATTTTAACCTATCAAAGTGATGTACCTAATCAAGTTTTTTATGTCACTAGGTTTAATAGCCTTTAAATGTAAAATCAATGGTTGAGATCAGTACTCGAGAGGCATGACAGTTGGAGAGGATCCAAATCCGTCCCAGTTACGAAGAACCAAAAATACAGATGCAATTCATAACTTATTTCTAAGATCATAGACAGCAAACTGGGCATTTAAATACTTCACCACTCTACACTTTCCCCAAAGGTAAATAAGAAAACCGCAATAAGTAACCTTTTTTGTTCCCTTTTCACATGAATGTGAACAAACACACTTGTGATCACATCATTATGCTAAAACCTCAAGTCAATCTCTAAAACCTTCTCCTATTTGACCAGTAGTACTGTTCACAACACTCAACCGACAAACACATTGCAAAAAAACAAAATACATTTTTTCCCAATCTCCCAATTCGGGAACTCCTAAATAGAAGCTAAAAGCAAGCATGCAATGCAACGCAAATACAAAGATCGAAAGGGGCTGCGGCGGGCAAATTAAGCGAAAATCACGAAAATGCAGCATGCAATCCCGTAGTGATTTTGAGAACGCAAAAAAAAGTGGCATTGGAAAGAGTGGAAAGCTTTTAGGGACATAACAGAGCTTTAGGTAGTAATTAGGAGAGAAGAGAGAGTAAAATGTGGAATGCGAGAGAAAACCTACAAGTAGTGGAAAGGAATCGAAGGGAAATGGAGAGAGATGCGAGAGAGAATCAGAAGATACCTGCAAGGCTGCAACGACACTGTTGTTCGACTCCTCTCTGCGAGAGAGCGTTGCGTTTCACTCTTCCCTTTCTTCACCTTTCACCTCCTCCTTTCATCATCAATTTCATCCCAAAAACAAAACCTCATTTTCAATTTACTTCTCTTTTAAATATATTATATATACATAATTATAAAATATCGTAGTCTTTATAATATTATAGGATAGTGATAAAAAAAATAATGTTTGATATTTAGTTAAAAGTGTGTTAAACATCTCTATTTTATTTTATTTTATTTTATTTTTACTTTTAAAATATTTACCTGAAAATAAGTTAAACAAAAAATCTAAAACATCATTTTGAAACATTGTCTTTTTTTTTTTACGGAAACGTTGAAATACTCACCCAAGTTTCAATTTTTATTTTGTTTTTCAATATTTTTTTATCACTTTATAAAAATCTAAATCTTGGTTTATCAAATTAGAGATACTAATTTCTCACATAAGACTTAATTTGTTATTTCATTAGTTTAGAGTTATAATCAATAAAAACATGACTTATTTTGATGTAACAAAATTCATTATACATATAATAAAATTTGATATATTTATCAAATATGTGATACTAATGGTATACCATTTCTTAATCAATATTAACCTTTTATTGTTTCTTTTTAAGGTAATTATTCGAAAAGATAATTTATTTTAGTGGAAATGGTGTTCATAATTCCAAGTGGTGTACAATCTGAACGGATGATTTTTATAATTTCAAAAATTCTTTGATATTTATTATAATTAGATATCCTTAAATATGTTATTCTTCATTGTATATTTTGAAATGAGTGTTTAAAAAAAGTTTAAAACTCAACCTAAAAGAAAGGTATACTCTTAATCATAATCATAGCATCGTTAAAAAGAAAAATTTTCCATATTGAAATAAAAAGACTAATTTACTATAGAAAGGTAAAAAGTAGTATGAGAAAGAACTAATTTTCTAAATAAAATTATTTTTGTTTTCTTCAAATTGACAGGGAGAAATTAGTTGAAAGTCAACCGATTTTTCAACTATATTTTTTACTATTCATCTATAATTTTAACTGCTTAAAATAATAATTGATATTTGTGAATTGGTTTTTATTTTTTTATATTTTAATGATTGCAAACGAGTTTTGTAATTATTGAATTGTCAATTTTTTTATTATTGGTGTAGGTATTTTGAATTGTTAGTTTTGAAATAATTTGTTAACTGTGGTTTTATTTTTGAAAGAAAATAGAAACTTGTTTATAATGATTATTAATATTTATAATTATAGTACTCTAAAATAATGATACTAGTAAAATAATTTAATTTTTATCGTACAATTTATTTTAATCCAACAAAAACACTCATAAAAATATGTGAATTTGCATTTTTTTAATTTTTATTATAATAATTTCAAAACTACTTGCTTCAATTTTTTTTGTTTTTTTGAAACAGTTTATTTCCTCATTAAAACAAGGAATAAATGCAAGTACCCCTAAGTGGTGTGGTCTAAAACGTGGTGGTTCTGTCGAAAAAATGGCGTGCATCATCATCATCTTTTAGTTAAGAGTACTACAAATGAACATATCCTTACGTTCAAAAAAGGGTTACAATTAGGACACACCACTCCACAACATTCAACAACACCCCTTACACCTTCTTCAACTCCAGTTTTTCTTCTTCACTCTTATTTCTCAATTCAAACCCTATCCCTAACTCTGCATTTTCCACACACTTATTTACCGGAATGGCCGAGATTCAGCCGCCGGAGGGGCAAATAAACGGTGCTAGCGGAACCCTAGTTCTTCACTCGTCTGAGCCCGCCATCGGATCCAAACGACAGCGGCGGCCAAGCGTCAGATTGGGTGACATAGGCGGGGACCAGCCCTATGATTCCCACGCGCGTCGCAACGCCAAGCCGTGGAAACTTGCCTTCGACAGCCACCATCATCACCACCACCGCAACAAGGACAAGGACCCAGGTAAACCCTCCAAGACCCGTCCTTTAACGAACCTGAGCGAGTTTAACGAAACCCTAGAAGGCTCGAACGAGCAAGCGGGGAACGTCGACTCCGTTGCAATTGGCAGCTGGAAGGTGAAGGAGTCTAAGAAGAGGGGCTCCGTCGCCACCAAAAGAGTCAGATCGAATTGGGTTTCGCGAATCGAGGACGGCGGTGGTGACAATGGTGGCGGGGAAGGAGAGGTAGAGAAATACAATAACGGGGACGAAGATGGAGAGGATGATGATGGGTATCGGGAATTTGAGGTGGAGAATTCGGAGAGCCCTTTGAAGGAACAAAGCCCTATGCATAGTATGGAGAATTTGGGGGTTGATGGGCATAGGAGGGTTTTTAAGGGTAGGGAAAGGGAGCAACAACATGATGGGGTTGAGCTATCTGCACCGTCTGATACTGATGTTAGGGATTGGAAGTGTGGGGATAGGAATAATGAGAATGGTGGTGGAAGGGTTAGGGGTGGTGAAGATGGGGTTAGGGTTTGGCTTAATGGGCTGGGGTTAGGGAGATATGCGCCTGTGTTTGAAGTGCATGAGGTGGATGATGAGGTTTTGCCCATGTTGACTCTAGAGGATCTCAAGGATATGGGGATTTGTGCTGTTGGATCCAGGAGAAAAATGTACACGGCCATTCAGAAGCTCGGGAAGGGCTTCTCCTGAGCTGAGCAAGCTGAGCTTGTTTTTGGTGATGCCGCTGCCCGCCGGATGTAGATTCTCAGCCGTAGCGAATTCAGATGCTTCTGTCTGAACTGAACTGAGTTTTAGTATGTTCTTCCATGACGCTTTTTCTTTAGGGTTGGAAATGTTAGGACCTCACATGTTGTTTGAGAAACAAACATCCTTCTTGAAATCCAGTGCAAGTATATATAACTCTGCGAATTTTGTTGGAGCTATTCATTAAATTATTTTTGCTGAAGCAATTCTAGATTTATAGTTATTGTATTTCATTGATGACTTGGATTGGTGACGTGAAGGAACAACATATACAGTATAATGCATAGGAAAGTTTTTTCCATGAAAGAAATGAGACAAGATGTTTAATTACGTATGAAGGAACAACTAAACATTTTTGTGGTCTTCTTGCGAAATTCCTTCGTAGACCTTGTTTAATCAGACATTTCATATGCACAAAACCTTGTCTCATGTTACTTTCTTACATATAGTATCAATTGTTAATTATTTAGTAACGTAACTTTTTGTGATAGTATCAATTGACAATTGGTTTTAGTCTATACGACTGTTTGCAAGCTCTGTCTATGCAAGTCTCTTATTTATGTGGGTACTAGGATGTAGTGTTTTTTAATGAGTTAACAATGCCTAGAGAATCAATAACTTTTCCCCCCAAAATTTAGCATTTCAGGTGCTATTCTCTAGGTAAATTAATTATTACAACATTTTAGCACATGTAGTTTGTAGATATATCGCATTTTGGTTTGTTTTTATTTAATTATCATGGTATTTATTGATATCCATTCATTCAGAATTTGATTGTTGCTTGCAATTAATTCTATTGGCCACATCTGTTTCTCTAATGTTCAGTGACTAATAACTGGATGCATTCAAGTTTGCAATGAATTAAATTCTGTCTGTGTGGGCAACATCTGTTTCTCTAATCACGTTCAGCAATGTTATATTTTAACCAGGATTGTTGGAATTAGCTGAGATGGTGTTTAGTTACCTTTATGTTGTTGCCTCTAAAGCTTATTTGCCTTGAATGGATGTGCTATAGTTATGAGATCACACTTGCAATTATATTTTTTTACATAGCAGGAGTATGACTTATTGTGGTTCTTAATGCTGTTTGGCAGAAATGATATAAAGTATTTAATGCTTCAACCAAATTCTTTTTGTCTTGTATATCTAGTGATAAAGGCACCACCTTAAAGTGGCAAATTTGGTTGTGCTTAGTGGATCATGAATATCATACTATTTGTTGATGCTCTCTAAAATTTTAGTGCATTTCTACTGTGTTTTCTGCCATACCTATCTCTGGATTAAAATATTTTGAAATTATTTAACATGGTGGATCAATTTGATAAAAGCTGAATGAATAGGAGAAGGAAGCTCTATTGAGAGGACGAATGCTTTCTAATAAATAGACTAGCATGTTTGCCTACAACTTGATTGTATTAAGAATAAATTTAGCATAGCCTACACAGAACGTACCATATTGCACTTATGCGAAGATGTGTGGGATCCGGCTTGTAGGACCACCGTATTTTGGGAGATTAACTGGTTAATAGAGGAAATAATTCGAAGTTGATTGTGCCTGATGATTGCATGAATGGCGTGCAAGCAGCTTAACAAGAGGGGAAATTATGTGGTAGTTAGTAATGGTGAGACTCCTTGTAGTAGTATATCTTGTTGTTGAAACGACTACATGATATGTTCTTTCTATTGTTCAGATCAGTTTTTCAAGCCATCAAAGAAAAAAGGTTTTCAAATCATTAGATTACAACTATGGTAACCAACTTGGAGACAAGAATCAAAAGTACAGCCTAAGTTGAGGAGTGCAATTCAATTTACTTGACCTTGGCATTCCAAATTCTAAACGATAAGACTAAAACATATTTGTTGTCCAGTTATTATCTATCTCGGCTGAAGTATGCTTGGTTATAATAAAGGGTAGCTGCTGTAGCACAGCATGAATAACCAATTATCATCAAAATAAGCTTATCAATACCCAAATTAATTGCAAAGAGAAGCTTAGTTGAAGTAGAGTTGTAATTTCCTTTCCTTTCCTTTCCTTTCATGGGTCTAACATGTTGCACACTGAAACCTTGATATGAGACTCGTATTACCCTTCTTCTATAACTTTCTTGGGGGTTGTGCCACTGTTTGTTTGCCCTGCTTGACAGTTTTTCATCAGTATCCTTCTTAGGAGATATTAATGTTTCAAACATTACATAATAAATCCCATTGTAACTTTAGATTATCACGTTGTGAGGAAGTAGTCTTTGCTACTAGAATTAAATACTATTGTAAATACCATTTGAAATCATCATTAAAAAAACATTGTTGCATATGGGTTTTTCCTTTCATTATTTTTCCAGCTTTAACATGATTTGTTTATTCTCTATTTTCATTGATATTGTTTTTTAATTTTTGTCTTATTATTAGTACATGTTTGTTTTGAAGTTACAAAACTGAAATTTCTTATTCTTCAATTAAAAATCTATAAATTTAAAACTCACATTAGTTAAACACACCTTTCAATTACAATTAATGGTTTAAAATCAATTTTACTAATCTATAAATGATGCAGGCAGTTAATCTTGAGATTTATTAACATCACAAATGAATTCGAGATTCATTAAATTTTATTTCATCAGTGGATAAAGAATCATAACAAATAAATGTTAAATATGATTTACTCTCAAACTCAGGAAATTTCAAGATATTCATGAACCAAAGAGAAACTTCTCCCACAAAAACTGTACAGTAATAGCGAGCTGATCCTCTAAATGTACAACAAACTCAGATAATTTACACACCCCTCACATTTCCTTCTTTCTCATTACATTTATGACTTTTTTCGCCCCTTCCTTTTCTATCTCTCTGTTGTCCCGGATACATTGAAGTGTGGGAAAGAACAACACGAATATACAAATCCAATAAAGATCTAGCGTTGTACGTCATACAACAAAGACTAGTCAATTGACATACATAACAAAGGGCTAATCATGGGAAACAAATAAAATAGAAATCACAATGCAGGGGCAAAAATGATTTATCAAGGCATCAATAATTTCTTCCTCATTCTACGTTGCCAAAATCCAAAGAAACAGATTATTTGCTTCTAAATAATAAATCAAATGAATGACCAATTGTTGATAGCTTGAATGAACGCAAAGATTTCCAAGTTGATGCCATCTGGGAATCTGCTGTATTGCTTCTCCTCACTTTGTCTCTGGCAGCACCATGACTTTTAACAGATCCAGAAGATTTTGAATCAAATATGGTAGAGGCTGTGGAAGTTTCAGTGGCTCCAAATGAAACAGCTCCTTTATTTGATGCATCCAGTGGATATCCAACAGCTCCATCCTGATGGGGAGGTGGAAATTTCTCACTCTTACATTTTGCATTTGCATGGGTCACAATTCTCCACCTCTGAAAAGACACATGTAATGTTGCTCAAGGAAGCAAATAAGACAAAGCTGAAGTGGAAAGCTTGGGTAAACATGAGATGGACCAATCATATCAGACAAAATTCATCAGAGTTCTATAAATTGAAGAGACAATACATCACCCATATTGTTTTTAAAAGACAAGAGGCCTAATACCAGAGAATCCAAAGCAAAAGATGCTAAAGAATGTAGGTCACAAATTCCGGAGAGTTTTATAATTGAGAGAATTTTTTATCATGAAATTATGCAATTGGCAAAAATATCATGAATATTGATGCAAATATACACTACTATAAATTATCATATTTTATGAGAATATTTTTGTAATTTTTTTTACAAAAATTATAAGAAATAAGTTTCTGCACATTTAAATAGTTTTTTGCAAAAAAAAATTGACAAAATGATATAGAGTAAAATGGAAGTTTAGACTAAGGATACTCGTTAGAAATGTGTGTATGAACTAGGGTGTGTAAAAGGAACTGAAAATTAAATTCAACAGCATATAACAAGTGATTTCCAAGCAAGAATGAAGAGAAGACAAATCTGACAGAAACATCTGGTATACATCTAAGTTTGTTTGGATCTCTGCATTGGCTTCTGGGGCCGGAATGGCCAAACCGCGCTCGCGTACTCTAACCCTTCTGGCACCATCAACTGCATTATTTTTTCCACTTAGAGCTTTCAGCCTGATAATGGTAAAAACATACAAGTTTTAATGGGTACCAAGACAAAAACATCTAGAAGTTACCAAAGGCAATAACTGACTAATAGAACCTTCTTGCTTCTTCATCTCTCAGTTTTATATCCAATTCTTTGGTGGGAGGATACTTTGGCAAACTAGATGGTTCACAAGCACAGGGCTCAGTGGCAAAGAACTGCAGATAGAAAATAGCTGTGAATTAATACACTGCATCTCAAGTATAATGCTAATCCACAGCGATCACTTACTTCACTATTTAGAGAAGATGAGGTAGTGCCACGATCATTAGGATCTATTGCAAGAAGAGTTTCAATCAGAGGTAATGAAGAAGAAGGAAAATCCTTGAATGTTTCTAAAATGTTTCTTTTATACGGTTGCTGTGGCTTAAAGAGTGTGGCATTTGGCAATCTATATTTCTTCCAATATTCCTCAGATGGAGAGCCACATAACTTAAATATTTTGTGCAGCTGCTCAACCTAGGTCCAAGCAATTAAACAATCAGTCACACGTCTTCCAGAAAATATGCATTCCAAGATATATAGGAAACAAAAATATTAAAACATAAATTTGATACTATATCAACTTCCTAAAGCTTGCTAGAGGCGCATTAATTGATGAAACAGTGTGTATTCAAATGCTTAAACTAGTTTACAGTGTATTTTGTGATGATAAACTAAAACATTCTCATTTTCAGTTAGTTGCTTCTCTTTATTCTCTGATTATGATCTGGTTTCTGCCTTTAGGCCTATAAACCATGTCTGGTCAGCGGGCCATCATGACAATAGATGAGTGCCATTAATTGTCCAAAAGACAAAGTAATCAAGTTGATGAAACAGTCCAACCTTAGCCCCCCACTTCACCAACTAGGTTGGTGACTAAAAGCAACTTAGCAGTAAAACAGGGGAAACAAAAGGAATTCTGCCCACGTGTAATGACTCAAAAGTAACTTCAGGTATGGAAAAATTATGAACCAAAAGCAAGCTGATGCATCAATCATATAAATGATAACAGATAAGAAGTCATTGCAGCTTAATGCCTTTAAAATTAGATACAAAGTACCATTTCAACTAATACGAGAAAAATGTAAAGAAAAAATAAAACGAGCTCCTCCATAAACTAAAATTAGCCTATATCAAGTTAAAAAATTAAAAGTTTAGACATGTTATATGAAAAAAATTCTACCAATTGTATAACTTTAACCTACAATAAACTCATTTCGTTTCTTATTTTATTATATTTTCTCTCCAAGGAGTATTTATGGAGAGGTTTGTCCAAATAGCCCAAAGTTACTCATGGAACAACACAGAGAACAATACCTCTGTTCTGCCAGGCATGATTGGCTTTCCAGCAAGCAGCTCTGCCAAGATGCAGCCAGCACTCCAAAGGTCGACACCAACACCATAAGATGTAGCCCCCACAAGAAGCTCAGGGGGACGGTACCAAAGGGTCACAACTCTACTGGTCATAGGATGCTTTTGCTTAGGATCAGAGAAAGTTGCCAATCCAAAATCTGCAATTTTAAGTATGCCTTCATTGTCAATGAGCAGATTGGAACCCTTAATATCACGGTGCAAAACACCTCTGCTGTGGCAATGCTCAAGGCCAGATAGCAATTGCTTCATATAGCATTTGATCTGTCATATAGAACATACTGAGAAACAATCAGCCTATCAGTGCATTTTTTCCTTACATTTCTAAATATGAAAGCTTAATCTTCCCTTCTATTCTTACTGATGCTTGAAAAGGCGCTCCTGTTTCACATACTTCACAATAAAAACTGTATCATCTAACATTCTTCTTGCAACAGTACAAAATGTGTATGTGTATGAATAAACAACAAAAGAATCCTTGGGGGATTAGATGGAATTTGACAATAAAAGTGAACATATTCCCCCTTATTTTAAAAATCATCTACAAAAATTCCCATCATTTAAAAAACAAGGCACTTCAATGCATGATATTTTCAATCCATTTAAAAATTAAACTCCAGTCGCAAAATTTCCCATCCAAACACACAAAAAATTAAAGAAAGTTCTTTCCTCCGGTGTAGTTGCATGGATAAAGCAAAACTTCCGAATCAAGTGCCGAACTTATTTTATGGAGTATGTGACATAGGAAACTTCAGAACAAGAATCCTACAGACAAAACTAATAAACACACTCACGACAGTGGATGATGGGACCCAACAAGGGCTTGACTTAGATTGGAAGCTTTAGGAGCAAGAAAATCTCCAGTAATGAAAGAGCTTCGAGTTTTATAGCAAGGCAACAAAATGATGATGAAGGATGCAAAAGCAAAATTTGGAAAATGAGCATAAAATGGTGGTACCTGAGGCTCAGAGAATTTGACACCCACACCAGCTGCAAGACCAGCAAGATCATGTTCCATGTACTCAAATACCAAGTAAAGACTGGATGATATTCTTGAAGTAACCAACCCCTCAAGCTTCACAACATTGGGGTGATCAAGCCTCCTCAAAACAAGAATCTCTCTTGCCATGAACTTCACACTCTCTGCTTCCAAATTGTCAAATCTGACCTTCTTCAAAGCCACTATCTTCCCAGTTACAAGGTCCCTTGCTTTATACACATTGCTATAAGTCCCTTGCCCAATCTGAACAACACCCGAGCCAAAACAAAACACACAAACATCAACAACAACCTTTTTCCACTACATGAGAGTCAGCTACATAAACCACGTAAAGTCATTCCGCTCGATTAAAGAAACTATCTAAAAGAACAATCATTTAAGAAAAGATTTTTATTTTTATTTAATTTGTGGAAAATGGAGTTAAGGTTCGAACTTCGAAGTTCAAAATTCTAAACACTTACCTTAGCAAGCTTCTCGAACGTGTTGGCACGGCGAGGAGTCCAGTCTCCGAGTGCTTCGCCGGCGACAACCATCAGCCACGACGGCCACCCCCGATGGCTCGCAGTGAATGAGTCAAGTCGAAATCTCCGTCGCTCCGGCGCCGGAACCACGCCGGAAAGTTCGCCGACGTGAGGACTCTTCTGCTTTTCCCGAACCTTAATAGCATCATTTCCGCCGCCGGCAGTCTCGGTTTTATGCCGTTGATTGTCGACGGAATCCGCCGGCTTTCCGAGGGCGCAACCCATCTGTCAGAGGTGGTAGTGGCGGTGGGTGGCGGTGGCAGGGTGTCGAAAACGCATGGAGCCGCCGTAAGCAGTGAGGGAGATGGTCGTCGGCGAATGAGTGAGGATTTTAAGAATGAAAGATTTTTCAGGTGAGGAGTTTGAGGATGTCGCAACTTGGCAATGTGAGTCTATTATTGTCATTATTACTACATGCTAAAGACTAAATAGTAGTACTTGATAGATAGGATCTAGTACTAATAACTAACTATCCCAACAAAACATTGCATTAGCTAATGACATCATCATGGTTTTAGTGTAATAAAACTTAGATTAACCAATCATAAGCTTTGAAGTTGAAGTTTGAAATTTTAAAGCTTTATCTACATGGGATTTTTTTTATTAAAAATTATTAATTACAATAACAATTTCTTTTCTATGATCTATTCATCCTGAGATAAATTGATATTTTTTGCTATCCATTATACTATATTCAATTTTATTTTAATATTGAAAGATATATGTGACATCTAAAATAAATAAAGGGCCATTTCAATACTTAAATTAGTGATATTTTAGTCACAAAAAAACAAAAATTTTGATTTAATCCTTAGATATGTAAAAGGTGAAATAATTTCATTTTATTATTACATTTTATTAAAGGTCAATTTGACACTAAGCTATATTTTAATTAAAGACTAATTAAAAAAATATTTTTTAAAGACTGAATTATTATTGATTGGAATACACTGATTATTTTTTAATGCCAAAAAATACGATTCTGTATATTTTTAGAGTTTATAAAAAATTTGTTAGTTTTAAATTCTTCATATTTTCTATAACTATAGTTAATTAAAGATTTTAAGTAGAAAATATTAACTAAGGTAATTAAATTTCCTAGGACATTATTTAATTAAGTAATATGTTTATTATTGAATATAAAAAAGGTAACTTTAAACTAATATAAAATAATATTTAATCAAATTAAGAGAATTATTCTCTTTTATCTTTACATAATTTAAAAAGGTGGGTGTGTAAGGAAAAGGCCGGAAACAAAACGACGCAGCATAGCATGACATTGCATGATGAGGACATAGATTTTGGGTTCTCAAGATCAATTATTGCCCCTTTTTTTTCAATTTTGATATCAATTCTTTCATTGAATTGGTTAATGTTTGCATGTAGTGCAGTCACGGGTATGAAAGAACGAAACTTTTAATTAAATTCTCTTTACATTAAATGCATATTAATTCTTTTCTCACTTCCCTCTCCACCTACCACCAACACTGCAATAATTTCCATTTATTACTTTAAGGTCTAGGTGCCTTAAAGGTTTAGGGTGTCTATGTCCTCCACGCATAAACATGTTTTCATACGAATTTTGCAATTAAAATCAATTTAAATATATATTTGAATTTTATATGAGAAGATTGAGAACCACAAAAGAGAGAGAAACGATAAACACAATACGACAAGAAATTTCGAAGGAAACAAAATTCATAACGAGGATATTTTATACCACGTTTAGGACTTTCCAAATCTATAGTTTGAGCCTGTCAAATTTCGATGGACATTTGATTTTGAAAAAAAGTTTGAAAAAAAAACTGGGTTGCATTTATATAATTGACTTATAAAAAATGAATTAACACAAGCCTAATTTTTTGCTTTCCGTTTGTTAAGAATTCAACTGGGTCAACTTGCACCCCAAAGTTTGTTTCTGTCTTTCTTTTTTCTTTTATTCTTACTAGTCTTAATGATAAATTTGGGCTAGCAAAGGTCCAATAATTTATATTTGTTTCTATTTTCGTACTCGTGTTGTTCAACCGAACCTTAAAAAAAAATATATATATATATATATATATATATATAATATGTAAATAAGAAAGCTAATAAAATGGAAATTAAAACAGTATATAAATTTTAAAATATAAAACAGAAAAAATGGGAAATGACAATCTTTTTGTTATTCTTGACAAGAACTGGATGCAATTGGAATTATGAACGGGTGTGAGTCGGAAGAAATGAACAAATTGAATAACATTGTTTTAAGGTTTTGGTTACAGGTAACGTGACATTGGATAAAAATGATTGGGAGTCAGAGAATGAAGCTTCCAAAAGGATTTGAAATCCTAAGGGAGTTGATAAAGGTGATCATGATAAGGATGATCTTTTTGTTCAAGGTTACATGTTCTGAAAAAACTAGTTCGATTCGATAGAAAAGTAGTTGTCTTTTTTCTCCACTGCTATGATTAAATTGAGAGATATTGAAGGAATGGAAAAGTTCTACGGAGCAACTGTCACATGATAAATGCTATATAGGTTATGGGCTTATATTTTGCTGCGTGGAAGCAAGAAGACAGTGAAAAATCTTGCTGATAGCTTGACGAAACTACCCACAACCACAACATCAATGTCTAATTTTTGTTGCTGATAACCTTCATGTGTCAGAAGAGACATGAAGCTGTTCAAGGTCTTATTGGCCTTAATGTCCATGAGATGATTTAAACTAACACTATTTGCTGTGGTTTAATCTCAACATCAGGGGACTTCGTTACTAAGAAAGTGAACAGAATGATTCGTTCTAAAAGGAAAATTAGAAGTTTTTTAACCAGAAGATGGACTGGTGTAGTGGAAGTGTAATAAGCAAGATAAAATATGCTACATATTTCTCAGAAGCAAACTCTATCAGTGTATTGCTTGAGAATGTTGACCATGTTCTTGCACTCTCCAAGTTAATCAAGTTAGCCTTCCTGGTGAAGTTTAATGAGGAAGCACTTGATTTCTTGATGGAATCTAAGGATTGCAGATTGTCTGTGAAGATGAGGCATTCCTCCATTCTGCTTTCCCAATTGACTAGGTATGCTTCACTGAAATCAATTTTTTGTTTGCTTTATCCAAAAATCTTCTACTTCTCATTATGTTCCTTCTGTTTTGTACCCTTGCTAGTGTGTGATTTCTTGTGTTTGTTTAGGTGGGGGTTTCTTCTGTTTTGTGTTCCTTCAAATTCTATTTGATAATCAATAATACACTGTTACAAGTTTGATATCTGACCCGTGGATCATAGTAATTGTATGATACTGCATTTTTTAAGCAAACTGTATGATATTGTTCGTCCTCAAAGTAAATATTATAAGGGGTCTATTAATTTTTATTTTCTTTATCGTAGTTCAAAAGACATAGGGGGATGGAGCAAAGGTTTTAATGAAAATACATAATAAACACAGGAACATAATGAACAAAGACCCAGAAATGCATGAGATAATTTACATAATGAACAAAGAGAAGGCACTGTGATTTACATCTGATTGATGGAATCAGAAGATGGGAATTCAGAAGGAACTAAAAACTTAAGTAGGCCAACATAGGGGCTCTGACCAAATAAAAAACAAGAATAAACGGAGTGTAAGTTGTCTTCATTCTTTCTAACACCTAGTGTGTTCAGCATTTGGTTGATTTTGAAGTAACAAAGTTTCTATCATCACCACTACAGACACACATTGGGTGATAGCACGACTTAACCTTGAGTAGAGTCTTCATACCACCAAATTTCTTCTTATTTCCTCTTCTCTTCCGAGTTGATTTTGAATCCTGAAGTAGCCAATCAACATAAAAAAAAAACAAAACAGCTATAAGTGTTTTATTGTTGTCTTCATTTGTCTCTTTTGGTGGATGGAAACTTTTGGATATCTAGAATTTAACTGAGTGGTTCAAACAACAAATTTAAGCACAAAAGAAAGGAAGAAGTGAAGTGAAATGAAATAGTGAGAACAGCTTACCTCGTTAGAAAATTTTGATGCAGCTGTTTCAACAGTGCTTGCACTGCGTGCTTTATGGTGTGTGATAATGGGTGGACGATTACCTGCATCATTTATCAAGCAAGCACATCAAATTTTCAGATAAAAAGTGATGGTGGTTTTACCAGATGATGCTATTCTTTTTAGTAATCACATTCACCTTCGTTTATTTTCTCGGGATCAAAGCAATAAATTTTGAAACTAGGTGATCCAGGACATATAAACCTTCCAACTTCTTCACTTTCATCTTTATCATCATCATGCTCATCACCTTTTTCACTTTGCATTTTTTCTTTCTTGGGTTCTTCTTCCGCTAGCCTTGCACTCTTTTCCTCCCCTGTTTTGACCTCTGCCTGAACCATCTCAACAACATGATTCAATTTACCTTGGCTGGGATCCATGTTTCTCTTAACCTGCTCCACGTTATCTTTATTGGGGTGATTCTCCGCCATAATTTTACCTTCAGAATTGGGCATTGGAACCACTCTGGAAAGTCTTTCTGCAGCTATTACTCGTGCCCCCGTTTCCTCTTTAGATGTTTGAATCTCTTTTGAAGAAGAAACATTATCCTCCGATTGAGAAGATCGAGACTTTACATCCTCTCGATCAGCATACTTTAATAGCTTCTTCTTGGAGAGGGTGTTTTCTGTATTCTTATATTTTCTGAACTCCTCAATTCGGCCAACAAATGAAGGGAGGAATTTTGCAGGTGCCCCTTTTCCTTCTTCAGCTGCATTTAGCTTTGAAATGCCCATCCCCATTGCAGACAAAAAAACAACGATTTGTATGCAATGAAGAGGTAGGGTGGGGAAAAAAATTATATGGCTGAGATCAACAATAAAAGATAGAATGGTGGAGGAGAATGGAGAATTTTTGAGGTTTTTGATAGGGTAGAGTTAAAATAACCTGATGGAACCTAAACAGTTTGGTTTTACAGTTTGTGGGTGACAATATTAGAAAAAAAAAACAAGACATTTGACCTTGTATTGAATTTCACACGCACAAAAAAAAGAATCTTGGATTTGCAATTTTAGAAACCAACTCAACTAACATGCTCTCTTGGTTGTGTTGTTGCAACTCTCTTTCTTTGCTGGAATTAGAATTCGACAACGTAGGATACAAGGATTAACGTGACAGGTTGGAATATTGTTCATTCATGGCTATCTTCCTCAACTCCAACGAAAATGTAGACCCTCTCTAACTGCATTTTGCCACCTACCTTCATCAAATTTCGACACTGCTTTGTTTTTTCAGGTTCAATTTTTCATTTTTATTTTCTGTTTTCCCAACACAACCATATTGTAAAAGAAAAGGCACGTATGAAGATCCTATCCTAACTTCGGGGACAATTATGAAGTTCATTCCACCTATCTTCTTTGAATTTTAGAGTATCTCTTAATCAATTTTAATTATTTCTTTTATGAAAATACGAAAGAATAATCAAAACTTTTTGAAGGGTAAATGTTGTAGAGACACACACATTTTAGATATTCTGAGTCTACAAATAGTTAAACAAAAAATCATTGAAAATTACCTTAACAGTAGAGTATAATTTCTAACTTTTTTTAGTGTCATACAATATTTAAATATAGTAATTTAACAAAGTAATTTTAATAATTAAGATAGAATGATCACGATGACACGTCTATCTGACATTACTCAAAACCTAATATTTTTGTGATATAAAGAGTGTATTTGAAACAATTGTCATTGAATTTTTACTTTTAATTAATTTTTCTTTCAAAATATATACATATTTTCTTAAAGAATTCTTCAAACCATATTACTATGGGGATGACTAAATAAAAAATGCATCCAAAATGAATGTCGCAATTTTTTCAAAAGGAAATATTAATTAACAATTTGAATAACTTTTAAAAGATATGGAATGTTAAGATATTTCATATCTAAACTCAATTACACATACCTCAACATGGTAGCCAAATAACCTTTTGATTGATGATTAATTTTCTTTAATATTAGGTTTAACAAAAGAAATTACTCTCTACCACCACATTAAACTACCACTAATTAAAAACATAGAAATAAGCTTATAAAAGCACATGGGAATAAGAATATTACAAGATTATGATAGGAAACACGCAATGATAAATAATTAAAAATGGGCATAGTCCTTAATTAATTAGTGGATAAATTTGCAATTAAGTGGTGATTGTAGTAATCTTAAAAATAGGCATAGCCACCATTTGTTTCTTCATGATCCGAAGCATTTGAAGAGACTTCGAGGAAGTTACTGGAACTTGAACACGATGAGGATGTAGAAGAATGGGTCTTCTTTCCCACCATCATGAAATCAAACATTAATCTTTGACCTCTTTCAACTCTTTGCTTTTCATCACCATCATTTTCTATACTTCTTTTCTTCATCGATAAGCGACACAAAACCCAATCTCCAATCTCGTTTACGTAGTTCTGTCAATATTCGAAGTGAAGACTGTTACTGTGATTTTTAATATATATCTCTATCGTGATTTGTTATAACATTATTTATAATATATATTGACATTTATCTCTCCTTTCATACTTATTATGTGAATTTGAAGTGTGCTTTTGCATTCTTTTTTATCTACATATATATAAACATGGTACACAAAGTATAATAAAACCAAAAAAAAAAAAAAAAAGTAGTAAGAGTTAAGAAAACTTACATGGGATGAAGTGCAAGCACGAGTTTCTGCATTAACAAGACGATATTCATGCAAGACCCAGTCAGTTCTGGAGCCTTTTGGAGATTTTCCTTCATAAAAAATCAGTGTTTTTCTTATCCCCACGATACCATTACACGCAGTTGAAGACGATGATATCCTCTTGTCTGAACCTGTTGCCTTCCAATATCCACACTTTGTTGTTCTGTTCATGCGATTACCATTTCGATACTTTGCTTCCTTTGGACTGAAAAAATACCTCTCTTGTGGATCACAATTCCCTGAACTCACACACAACACACACATGCAGACCATGTTATGCTGCAGAACAATCTTAACAAGCCATGTTGTTAAATTAATGTGTCGTAACTATATGGTTATATATATTGCAACTACGTTTGGATCAATTCTCTATAAATATGATAAATGTTTAAGACAAATAATGGCTTTGTTGAAAATAGTTCTTACCTGGTAAATCCCAAGGATCATGCTTGCAGACATTGATCTCAGGAATGATAGAAGCAGGCAAGGGATAGGAGAAGACCTTACACTTCAGGTATTGGAAAACAAGTTCTTCATCTGTTGGCTGAAAACGAAAACCAGGAGGCAATTTGCTCACTCCATTTTTGACAAAATTCAGCTTTTCCATATGCTTTTCAAACTTTGGACTCTTAAATTCAACAACCAAAGAAAGGAAGGAAAAGAAGTTGAGACTTTTGAACTTGAAATGAGGGTACATGCACTTGAAGGAAATAACTTGGTTGGTATTTATATTTCTACATGGATTGAAAATGAGAGAGAAAAGTTTGTCTTTCGAAAAAGGGGACAATACTTAACAGACTAAGTTTGATGTTTGACAATTAATTATATACATTTTTGCTTTCCTATCAGGATCTTCAGAGATATTTTAATTACCACTTCCACTACCCCACCTTTTATTTGATAAAGTGTTTTTTTTTTTTTTATCTTATAACCTAGCTTAGATTTTGTATTATAATTAGCATGCATAATAAGGTGATTCTTAATCTTAAGTATCATTCTTTGTGTGTAAAACTTATTCAAATTCGTATTAATTTGAAGATGTGTTTGTAAATGATAATTTGAAATAGCGTTTGATGAGTAAATACTGGTTTGAAGTTTGTTGATCTAATATTGTAAATGTTGTTGACTATTTTCAAAGTCTCTGGTTGTTCGATTTTTATTACTTTGAGGTTTTTGGAGACATGGAGTTTCTGATACGTCATGCAGAGTCATGGTTTCCTGTTTATATTTTCACACACGCATATTTACCTAGCTGAGAAGCCTGGTGTGGTTTAGTTTATATATATATTTCAAATGAAATATTCTTAATCTATCTTTTTGTGATAATTGTAAATATTGCCCAAAACTTTATTTTATTCATTAATTCTTTATCAACTTAGTTCAAACCAAATATTAATTCTTAATCAATCATTTTAGTTTTTATTTGATTATTATTGATTTTTGTTCCTAGCTCCATGTAGGGAAGTTTTGCATGTGATCATTGCCTAAAACTTTATCTTTGGTGTTGCAATTTTTCAAGAACCAATAAATAATCCATTATATATCTTGACTTTTTTTTTCTTAAAAAAACTTACTAAAAATTTACCATACTTAAAGTTTCCCTAGTGGATTTGGCAGGACATATACATACATATATATATATATATATATATATATATATATATATATATATATATATAATATAATATAAATATAGAAAGATAATATGATATAGGCTTTTGTTCTCCTTTTATTTATGAATTTGAATTATTGATGGATATGTGACTCAGACTAACTTTACGAACGTTACTTTATGTGATGTCCCAAGTCTTTATTTAAATTTATAGTTTTCTTTAGCATGATTTAGTTAAATTTGTGTTTGTCATTTGTAAGAAAGAAAGAAAAACAATGTAGTCATGTTTGTTTTCACCAAAAAGCAAAATCACGATGAAGCATGCACGTAGTCAACTACCCTTAAAAAAGGAGTGCTACTTTCCTTCACCAAGAAGATGTTGATTTAAAGACCTTGCTTTTTCAACATTGTAAATCGGATTTCGAAAGATTATCTCCCTCTCTAAAATTCAAAAATAAAAATCCTACTTGCGTTTTTACATGTTTAAATCCCTTTGCTTAAGACAGCAGTAACAGAAGTTGCCCTTTGTTGTGGGTCTTGTATCCTTTAAACCAGAGTCTTATAGTCTCTACACATGCCCATCACCTTCATCACGTTATAGTTTATACAAATCACTTTCCATCACCAATTTTTGCACCATCAAATCAATTAAAAAAATCATAAATATAATAATAATAATAATTAACATAAATTCCTTAATTACCCTTAGAATGTTAGTATTAATTTTTTCATTACTATTAAGATAATGGCCAATTATATATATCTAAATGTATGAAACAATCAATTTAAAGGTCAATTTTTATTTTTGCAAGAAAAGAAAATGTCATGTAATATCTATGATATAAATAATGCAAGAATTAAAAAAATATTTAAATTTTCTCTTATTATTTTGTCATTAATTTATATTTTATTTCATGAATCTAATAACACTTAAAATAAAAGTGAAGACTAATTTATATATATATATATATATATATATATATATATATATATATTAACTCATCAAAACATTTTCTTAAAGATAAAATTGTAAAAAATTAGTATCTCAAAACAAATAATATCTTAAATATAAAAATTAACTTTAACAATATTTTCTTAAGATCATAAGAGCAGAACATTTTCATTTTTTTACTAAACATATTTATAAAGATCAATTTAAAACTACTATTCATCATCGTGAAACTATATGAATTTATATTTTGTATATATTTAATTTTTTTTGGTTTTTTTTTTAAATTAAATCAATCATATCAAGTGAATATTCATAATATAGTTGGTTATGTATATTTAATTTATATTTTTTTAATTTGAAGTGTGTATCTATCTACTCCTTGCTCTTCGTTTTATATATATAAATCTGTGGAGCCTCCCCTAGAAATAATGTCCTTTTCTTTAAGCATTGTTTTTTAAGCTTCTTAAATTCTATGCCAAAGTGAGTCGTGCTTTTTGTTTACGGACCCCTCGAAAAGTCTTGCAATGCTTAACGCATAAGAAACTTGGTCAATCATTTTTAACAGATCACTTCCACTCATTTACACTCTCCAACAACGTCCACACTTTCATACACTTCAAATTTTAACTCTTAATTTAATTCATTACAACTATATTTATATTTTACTTAAAAAGCTTCATTTTTTGTATCAAGAAGCTTAATCAATTATATACACGGAAATGAATTTATCTGAACTAATCCTATAGCTTCAATTTAAAAAAATTAAATTAGTGTTCTCACTTCAAGAAAGATTTTTTTACGTTTTCAAACCTAATTTTTCTAATACTCTTACATTGTCTAATAGTAGCATTTTATCCGATATTATTATTTCAAAATTTTATAATTGAATTTAATAAAAATAATAATATAAAATATTTTGTTTTTCTCGTCTGTTTCTCTTTCTTTTTCTTTTACTCATTAGAAAAAAAGGCCATTATAAAACGGGCTTTCCTCGGTATTTAGTTGGGCCCATAAAAAGCAATAGCTAATGGGCTTTATTTTGAAGCAAGTCGTTCGAGTCCCTTTTAGTTTTTGTCTTAGCGTGGTAGAGTTTTGGATTTTCTGGGAAAACTCGTTTAAAGATTTCAGTTGGGAATGCTTTCTCCAATCTTAACGGATTTTCCGCATCTTGACTCATCTGAAATGGAGTAATTCTACGAAGTAAGTGACATATATATACGAGTTTTTGTGTATTAGTTGGTGTTTCTATTATGCTGTTCTGGAACATTCATATGCTTAGTTGTGTTTTCTATTTTCATTTGACATTGTATTTACTTTTAAGAATTTGTTAACAAATGTGAGAAATAACAAAGTCTTGGCACTGTCTTGTTCCAATGATCATTCTTGCCGTCCTTGCATTTTATATTGTGAGAGACACAGATATTAGTCAATCCAACTCAACCGTCCTTGCCCTGCAAAGCTTTCACAGAATAAGCAATGAAAAACTTGTGTTAAGATGGGTCAACCCGTATTTTAAAATAGGTTAATTTTTTAGGTTGCATCTAGTCCAATAGAAGATCAACAAAAGAATTAAATAATTAATTTTGAACCAAAAATAAAATATGAATTTTTAAGATTTAAATTATATTAATAAAAAATCAATTTAAATATAATATTTTTAATATGTAAATTAATATATTTTTAATACATGTTAGCTTAACTTAAACTGTAGGTCATACACTAACTACCCCATTTAACGTAGGTCAATATTCTTTTTACCCAAACTAATATATATTTTTAATTTTGGAACTAATACATTAGATAAGGACCATTTAAAAATCTTTATTTTCATTCAACACAAATGAAAACAAATACTTTCAATTTTAGAAAAACTCGCTACATTTGAAAAACTAAAAAAAATCATGGTTGAGAAAAAGATATTTAGACAAGTCTCTTCTTAATATACTATAACATTCCAACAACTCATATAGTTTTTAATTATTTTTTATAATAAATCCTTTTAGAATTGTTATATTAATATATATCTATTTGTCTAATGAATATTTTTTTTAAGATAGTTGTATACTTATTGTTAAATACTAGGATGGTTATATTTTATGTAAAGAAAATAATGAGGAAGTTAAAACTAAAAACAGTAATAATGATACCTTTTTTGTTATCATAACTCAGTAATTAGAATTAAATCAACCCTATCTTGGTTTTATTTGAATTGGTTAAAAAAAATCAAAATTAAAATTAACTTGATTGAAAAAAAATCCAAATTTAATATTTTACGAAAGAATCCACAATCAACCTGTCAATCCCACCCAAGTTTAACAACACCCTTCTTTTGCTCATTACTGGTTTGAACTTTTAATTTACATTTATAAAATTGTATCATTACTCTTTTGAACTTTAATTTTACATCTGAAAATTGTCCTGACAGCCTCATATGTGCTCTGTACAAGCTCTTGAGTTGAGTAACTGGGCCCGGTAGTCCAATTTTATTGCCCAACTTCGATTATGCTGTCAGGAACTTGTGGAGTTGTTTCACATGGAGGGTGTCTTCCAAGTGAACTTTCTTGGCCCTCCACTCCTTCTGTGTGAAGGATCCTGCTTAAATCCAGGGACTTATCGGTCAATCCACTATCTTTGCTTTCACCATCCTTGCTACGTGCTTCATTCTCAGACCCATCTCTGTAATGACTTTCCTCCTCTTCTTGCTCATTATAAACTGAATTCCCTGCTAATAATTCCATATGCCTAATGGTTCTTTTCATCATTGGGCTTAAGGGCCTAATATCCGTTCTGTGATACGAGTCTAATGGCTCCCTTGGAACCTTAGACCTAAAATTATTCTTGGAAGGAGGAATTCTAGAGCAGAATACTTCTTTGAAGTTGTTAAGTACCCCTCTGTTGTATGGGTTCGTTTGATGGTCATACCGGTATTTAAAATTTTCGTAAGTAGACTGCACATTGGACAATAAGAATTTTCATTACCATACGTAACAAAACCAAACCATATAGAATCCAATAAACGATGATTGCATGTGAACACGAATACTGAAAGTCAAATTTAACGTTTCAAAGAATGAGCTGAATGGCATTAAACCTGGTTTGTGCTGACGAGGTACGTGTGGAAAACAGTGAGGCCGCCAACAAACCAAACACAGACGAAGGTGTAGATTATTAGTGCAATGGAAGCTATGGATTTGGACATTGCTCTCCAAATTGATATTTTCTCGGAGTCCTTAATCCTTACAATGTAGACCCAGCAAAAGGCATGTACATATAAGCAAAGCAGAGTGGCTGAGAAAACAAACATGTAGTAGAACCGGTAATTTCGCTGCGGCAATGTACATAGCAGAGAGTAATAGAAAAAGGTTATTCAACAACTTCACGTTTGTCCTTGTGTATGACATATCGTAAGCGATGTTGTACATTGAAAGCAGAAAAATACCCACAAACATGCAATAATCATCATCTATACTATTCTTCCAATTTTTTTTGTAAGAGCTGAGGATAAAAATATTTCTTCAAATAATACGGTGCATATAGGAAGCTAAAGCTATTACCTATAATTGCAAGTGACATTACTATTTATCCTCCCATAATATTTATGTTCATTGCGCATGCTATCTTAAGCTTTGCATCAAAAGAGTTATCATAACAAAAATATTCATGACAAAGAAGCCCGTCCCTCTCTAAATAGTAAATTTGATTATACCCGTATCTATTTTATTAGTAGGTGAGTAAACATTCAGTAAACTAAGAGTACGAATATCCCAGTAAAATGACTTTTTCTCAGGGAGTGTACTTCACAAGGCCTAGAAGATTCATGAAATAGTAGACTGGTGAATAAATATTGCAGCAGCTAACAATGGGAAGTATTAAGTGCAAAATTCTAATGACCGAGATAGTATTCCTTGAATACAATGAGTGTGAAGTTATGGAAGGATGATGTTACCAGTCCAATACACTGACCCACCCATGGGCAGTGATGATCAAATCGCTCTACGCAGTTATCACAGACTGAACAGTGAGAAGCACGGAGGGGTCTGTAGAGCATGCAAGTATCACAATATTTGACTTTCACTGTTATACCATTAACTATTACATCCTTTGTTCGTGGAAGTCGTGACAAAGAAAGTTGTCCATTGCTGCTATTCTCAGTCCACTGATAATCATCTGGCTCCGGAGGCTGAGAATTACGAGGTACTATCCCAGGATCTCTTCCTGAGGTCACTACAAGGGTGATTAGGACCTGCAGGGAATACGCATGTAAAGTTAGGAGTACAGTAGTGACTGAGAAAGATTGTGCGGTAAGATCTCTATATATGCATCATTTTTTTTTCACTCATTTAAGTAGAGAAAAAAAAAAAGAATAAATTAGAAAATTGTGCTAAATAAAATATTTATTATTCATTTATGTTCAGTGTTGCTGAAATAAATTAGGAAGGCTTCGCAGGAAATGAAAATAATATGTAAGTTAGAGGGTTGCATGAAAAAATTGTCATGCTTTGAGCATCAATTGTACTAAATCGGAGTTGAGACACTTCAAGTAAAACAGAACAAACAGAGAATTTTAAGTGCTGTGATAACTACAGAACAGTATCAATGGATGGAAATATGTCCTTTTACTTCAGTCCTCTGCTTCTAGATGAGAAGTCGTGATCATCATTTCTATAGCAGGAGTTTCAAGAATTTTTTCCCAGAAAATAATTAAATCCAAACAAGCTCAATAATTGAATATAGAATCCTAGGATATAAATGTGTGAAATTACGTATCGTGCTGCTACGCTCTAGAGGCACCTCTTGAAGCGATACAGCGATCCTCATTCGCACATAAAAGGGGAACATTATGCACCGCTCAAACAAAATGCAAAATTTTATACTACACATGTAGGGATAAAGATAAAAAATAGTCTCATTGGAGAGAGTTTTATATTGTCCTTCTGTATAAAAGACAAAACAGGCTTATTATAAAGAGATACTTTAACCCAAACCCATCATGTATAGAAAATTACTTTAACCCAAACTTTAATGGTTCGCCATATGAAAATTATTTTGGATGCATAGAAATTAAACTTTAGATGAAATAAGCGATGATATGTGACACGGGAACCATGGAGCGCAACGATGATTTCATCTATCAATGGAGGAATACATAAAATTCAGAACAAAAAAACTTACAAACAGTGTGAGAGCAATAACCACACCCATTATTGACCATCCAGAGTGATGAGGAAAATCGTCTAACAGTTTCCTCGCTACCATAGCGCAGAATACAGCGATGGGAACAATAATAAGAAAAATCGATATAAATATAGATTTAACATCAGGCCCAAATATAAGCCTCCCTCCGAAAAGAAACACCTGAAAAAATTGAACCACGATTTGAGACAGCAGAAAGCCATCATAAATAACAAAGTAATTCAAGTATTGATTACTAAACAACAACAACGTTGAAAGTATTTCAATCCACTTCAGCTATAGAAGAAACAGAAACTGGAGAGTATTTTCTTAAGCGTGCACTCGTGCTACTTCCGAGTCAACTCAGCGATGAGTGACGCAGAAAACTATGAATCGAACTCAGAGAGGTTAAATAAGCCCTAAAAATGAATCAGAGAGAAGTGATCGAAGAAAGTTGCGTGTGACTTACGTTACTGCCTTGCCAGACGCGATAAGTTCTGACAAGCGACGGAGCGAAGGCGTCGGCGGAATCTGGATTGTCCGGTGGCGGCGGTGCCGCCTGATGCTGCTGCATTGTGTGGGAATGGAGATCGCAATTAAAGTGGCAGTCCAATGATTATGAATGGACGGATGAATAAACAAGGGAAGCTACCTCTGGTCAAAGCCTCCAAGGGCGAATGAAAGGGCAACTTCTCTCTCCCTTTTTAATTCTTTTTTTTTTTATTTCATTATTTTCCTTTGACTTCCATACTATGTCTCCTATTTAACCTCTTTACTCAACATCATTAACTTTCTATGCATTTCTATAACCTTTTTTGTTATCGTTTTTAATTTCTCACTTTGAATTTTAAATTATTTTAATTATATATATATATATATATATATATAAATAGTCTCAAAAATACAATTATTTTACAATTTACATTGCATTAAATTCTCATATATATCTTTTATTTTAATATTTTTTTCATTAGATTTACATTAAACTAATAATAAAAAATTGAATGAAAAAATGTTTGTAAAATATAGACTTTTACCTTAATAGTTTAATTTATAAGATATTTATTATAATTTAGATGGGTGAAATATTAAAATACTATCTGCATAGAAAAGTTACGAAAAATGTGTTTATGCAATAAAGTTATCCTCAGAGAAATGGTAACACTAAGTATATAAAATAAAAGTATGTTCCGCTTATGAATATTTTTCGTCGTCGCAGGATTAGGGGCGTTGATAACGAGGCAAGTTAGTTAGCATAGCCATTGTGACATCTACCAACAAATAGAAGACACGTTTGTTCTAGTGTTAGAGTCTAAAAAGAATGACCAAATCAAATTTATATATATATATATATATATATATATATATATATATATATATATATATTACATTAAGTAAGATGAAAAAGTTTTCAGATGCTAGGATTTGGAAAATATCTGTGTTTTTTTAGATGAGTACTTGTTTGTTTGTAAATTTCGATAGAGATGAAGGTAACCATGTCTATTATACTTTATATTTTAAATTTCAAAATTTAAATTTATTATTTTTAAATAATTATGTTTACCAAGTTTTTTAGTTATTATTTATTCTTGAATTGAATTAAATTAATATTATATTTTCAATACTGGGTTTGAACGATTTAATATAGTAACAATTTAATTAATTTTAAAGTTAAGAAAAAAGTAATGCTTAGAAGAATGTTACTTGTAGGTAAATAATATTTATTTTTACTTTTATATTTATAAACGCCAATTTTATGTGTGAATAAATAATAGTCAACTTTTTTTAAAATTTGTTTAGCTATTAGATAGACTTAATTAATTATTTGAACCTATAATATAGGGGTGTCTTTGTGTTTAATTACTGTTTATATATATTTTGTTTTTAATATCTACAGTTAACTCTTTTTATTAACCCTAAATATGATTACATTATTTAGAATTATCATTTCACCAATACTAACATCATAAATAAAATATAATTGTTTGCAATTTCATTTACTTTTTTATTTACTTTTTTCTATTCTGGTTCAATTGATTTTAATTTAACTATTCACATATGATTGCCAAAATTCAAATCTTGGATTTTTAATTTTAATTTTAATTTTTATTATCTCTGTCTTAAAATAAGAACAACCTATCCTATAAAAAAACTCATATTTTGCTAATTTCTGGCCTGAAGGTTTAGTTACATCTCCAAATTGTCCTGACAGGATAACGTTGTGGACTGTACAACCTCATATGGGCCTTCGAGCCCAAATTCTCACAGAGAATTCTACTGCGTAAGTTTTGCTATTTACACTCTCGGCTCATGAAGTGTCCCACAACGTTAGGCCCACAACATTTTCAGGGTAAGGCCCACAACGTAACTCAGAACAATATTCCTAGTGCATGTTTGGTAATTGCGAATTACATTAATCTAAGCGCATGTTCAATGTGAAAGATAAGAATTTTTACTTCTCACTTTCATGCTTACCTTATGTTTAGGTAAAGAATATGTAAAGGGTAGTTATTTTTTAAGAGAAAGTTTAATTTTTTCTTATGATACAATATGTTATGGATAAATAATTTAGAATAATAATTTTGTTACTTCAAATTAAAAGGTTTTAAATTTCAAAGAAATTATATATATATATATATATATATATAATTTTCAAATTTATATCTCTTTATAATTATTCGTTTTAAATTTAAATTATTTTTATTATTGTAAAAATAATATTATTTAATTTTAAAATTTATTAAAATCATATACAAATTATTTATATAAATTCATAATAAATTACTTATATTTATCTTCAAGTGACTCTTAATAATGAGATGCCTAATACCATCACCGTATTTCATAAAAAAAAAAAAAAAAAAAAAAAAAAAAAAAACTCATTATTATTGTCCCCATCCCCTTCTTCTCAATGTTTGCAAGTATCATTGTACCCCTTCGTTACCGATTCGATATTGGAAGACAAATCCCTAACTCCCTGATTCTTCAAATAATTTATTTTACTTCACATTCAAATAATACAAGAATAGTAAATTCCCACGTGGCATCCAATCGTTCACAGGAACTAGGGTTTAAAGGGTTATCACAATAGGGTGAGTGATGTTGGTTGATTCACGATTCATGAATGAAATGAAGGAGTTATCCTAAAACGAGGCATTTAATTCCATGAAATGTGTTTCCATGGATGACAATGAAGTGAGCTCGATGTGAACCGTGGAGCGTGTCTCCTGGGCGGGTCCATCCCCCATCATTGATCAACACAAAAAGAGACTTCAACACATCATAATGGGGGCTAGGGTTTCACTTCCTTCTTTCATTTTCCAATCATTTTTCTAAATCTCTGGCTTTCCATTTTCCCTTTTAATCAAACCCTACATTCATTGAGTATTCATATTGAGGAGAAAGTGAAGGGTCACATAGTTGGAGTATTCGCTAGCCACTAAATTATTGCATTCGTCAATTTTCATTTAAACCAATTCGTCCTATTCTAACTCCTTCACTATACCCATTTCTTTCAACCACACGAATACACAACCTCACCTAAAAATACATTTATATAATATTAAAACCACAAAATTAAAAAATTTCAATATTTTTTCAATAATTGAAAACAGGTATATTAAATGAGGATATATAGGATTCAATAATTAAAGCAATTTGGTCAAGTATATAAAATTTCAACCCAATTTGATGGAGCAAAGAGGCTTACAAGACGTTAAAGGGGTCAATCAAATACCATGAATTACACAACTTCATTTCATAGTGATAAACACAAAGACTTGTACACATATATAGGTAGTGGAAGATACAATTTCAAACATTTTTTTTCTTTAAAACATAGTATGAAATGAATTATGGTCATATTTAGTTGTTGACTGTGAATTTCAAAGTGGTTTGTAAATTTAACTATCACTTTAAGTTCACATTAGTAATTTTAACCATCACCTCACTGTATTTTTATATATATTTATAAAATAAATTTTATCATTAAATGATATATTTTTTAAAATTATATTAAATTAATAAATTATTATTACATTAAAAAATATTAAATTATTTACTTAATTTTTATATTAAATTTTTAATTTATTATATTTTATAAAATAACATAATTAAAAGTCAATATATATTTATAATTGAAATTGTATATTAATTTGAAAATGAATAATAATTAATTAAAGAAAGAATAATTTCATAAAATAAATTTTTCTTTGAAATAACATGAATTTGATTGAAAAATGACAGTGTTTTACTACTATTAATGAATGTGTCCATAATAGTAAAGGCTCCTATCAAAAATTTCCGAAGTACAAAGGTGACACAAGTATACATTATCCACATTATTTATCACATTATTATAATCATTATCCACATTATTTATCATCACAAGTAACAGCAATCATAATCATAATAAGAAAAAATAATCAGATCTTTAAAATTAACTAAAATTTGATATATACATTGCATCCTAATTACTAAAACTTTTAAGTATTTTAATTTTCGTTTGTTAAGAAAATAATATACATGTTCTTCTCTTCTGGAAGAGAACAAACAATTCACAACGGGATAATAAATCATCACTTTATCAGCAAATAATCCAAATTCTATTAAGACACTCTAATTAACTTGTAGCAATGCAACAGTTCATGGTGATCATCTCATTGTGACACGTGTCTCCTCATCTCTGAGTCATGAAAGATTGGTGACCTACCTGTGGCAATAATGGGGGTGAATCACCAAGGCTTTATTTGGCGGCGGATTCAACGTCATCAGAATATTAAGGTTCCAAGTCCCAACAGAATGCGTGACACTTTCTTGAAGGTGTGAGAGGAGAAAGCAAATAATAGAGATGGGTCACGTGAGGGAAGGTTTGCATTGGAAAAGATACAATAATGAGTGAAGGGTTGGGCCAACTATTAATTAAAGAACCACATCACACCAACTAGTTACAATAATGTGTTGAGTTGGCATAGAAATCAGATGCATGCATGCCCTTCATGTACCCTCTTGTATAATGTGCTTCACCATCTCTCCATGCATGAAAAATCTCCTATACCCTATATATAAGGGCTTTCACTTCCCTTTTCATCTGTGGCACACAAAACTAGAGCTACCTTCCCTTCAAACCTTCCTCTCTTCTCTTCTTTTCCAACAAGGGAATATTTCTCAGAGATATTCCGAAACCATGGCTCACGATGCCCCTATGATTTTTGCTGTTGGAATTCTAGGTATTATTAAGGCTAAAAATGATCAAATTTAGTCACAGAAAATTACTATCTATGTATATATGTGTCTTACTTTTTCAAGAGGTGAACTGATATAACTTTCTTAATTTGGTTGGTTCTAGGTAACCTTGTCTCCTTCTGTTGTTTTCTAGCACCAGTGTAAGTAACACACATGTTCATTTTCATGTGTCTTTGTGAATTATGATGCGTAACTATATATTATATATGTTAATGAAGCCATTGAACTAGAACTATAGTTCAGATAACAATTGAATCACTTGCATATGGGTTTTGCAGGCCAACATTTTATCGAATTTGTAAGAAGAAAACCACCGAAGCTTACCAATCACTTCCTTACGTGGCAGCACTTTTCACTTCAATGCTTTGGATTTTTTATGCTTACATAAAAACAGGAGAAATACTTCTTATCACCATCAACGCATTTGGTTGTTTTATAGAGACAGTTTATCTTGTCATCTATATCACTTATTGTAACAAGAAAGCTAGGGTGCGTATATAATTTATCTTCGTGACACTTATTATCTTTCTGTTATTAAATTTTCTTGTATGTATGATTAATTTGAGACTATGATTTGCAGTTTTTTACCTTCAAGATGATTTTCTTGTTCAACGTTGGAGTTATTTTCTTGGTTGTTCTTCTTACTCACGTTCTGGCAAAAGAACGAACAGCCCGAATTGAGCTTCTGGGTTGGATTTGTGTAGTTCTTTCTACCAGTGTGTTTGCAGCACCTTTGAGCATCATTGTGAGTATATATTAATTGGATGAGTTTGAGTCTAAATTTTGATTAAGCATTTAAGCTTTTGTTGAATGACTTCATATTCAGAAGAGTTTATTTATAAGTTTGATATTCTGAAGCTTATTGCCTTTAAAAAATTTAAAAAATCTTTTTTTGACAAGTTATTTTATAAAATTTATTGAAATAAACTAAAAAAGAATAGATATAATAATGTACTTATTTTTTCCTTCTATTTCATCTTCATTTTTTTTCTTTTTCCTTTCTTTTATCACATTACTTATTTTCGTTCTTTACCTTCCTTGTTTTCTTTTTCAACCCCCAATGGGGTGGACAATGATCACGACTTTGATTGTAGTCAAATTCTTTTTTTTTATTCAAATTTTAACAAATAAGAAGCAAAGAGTTTCTTTTGTACTCGATTTCATACAAGAATTTTCATAACAAATAGCTTTGGTATACTTAATCAGAATGCAAATTGTTGATCTTGGTCAATTTCAGAAAGTGGTTATTCGAACCAAAAGTGTGGAGTTCATGCCTATTTCTCTGTCAGTCCTCCTCACAGTGAGTGCAATTATGTGGATGGCATACGGTATTCTCCTAAGGGACATCTATGTAACAGTAAGTACTCAAAAGATCTAACATAAAAAATGACTAATCATTTTGATTTCAGGGATATGCTACATCTTTTTTACTGATGAATAATACTAGTGAGTAAAAATTGTTTCTTTCTCTTATTTACTTTTGTGGACAGCTTCCGAACTTTGTGGGTGTCACGTTTGGAACAATTCAGATAGTACTCTATTTGATATACAGAAAGAACAAGCCAGGTAAGGATCAAAAGCTGCCTGAAAACAAAGACAATGTTAGCAATGAAGAAAACGCCAACACAACTGTGAGTGGTGAGAATCAGGGAGCAAACACTGCTGGATTTGTTGACATTGAGATTGGAGAGAAGAAGGAAGAGAAGAAAGTTCAGGAAGCAGAGAAAAAACAGGACCAAGTTGGTAATTCTCGTGACCAAACAGAACACAACAACAACAGCAACAAAACAAGAGAAGCTAGCACTCAACTACAACAACACAAGGAGGGTTGAGAAGTTTAATGAAGAATACACGTGCACGTGTTATGCCTCTCTCTCTATATCTCTCTGCCACCATCTGTTGATGTTCAAATTACTGCAAAATCATGAAATGGCTAATGGGGCAGAGAAGATACAAGTTATACAATATAGTCAATGTCTGTGTCTATATCTCTTTTCCTATAGTTCCATGTTTCTTTCTATTCTGTGTGATTTCTGTTCTGTTTTCTTTGTGTTACAATAATAAATAATAAACCCGAATCTTGTTCAAAGGAGATATTGCAGGAACCGATTGAATCTGCATACTGATTACTTTGTTTCTTCTTACCAGTGAATAAATTTTGTTCTGTTAAAAGGGCATTGGTGTCATCAAATGGATAAAATAACACACAAATTGATTAGATTGACATTGTAAATACTCTCTGAGCAGATTTAATCTATGAAGAATTTTGAACCCATGAATTCTATCCAAGCAAAAATCATTCCATATATCTATAATTATATTAGTCCATAATTCAATAATAGAAGTAAAACTTATTTATATATAATAAGTTAGTGACAAGAAAAATGAAAAATTTAAAAATATCAAAAAATGTTTTGGGCTTAAATGACCCAGTTGAAGGGAGAAAAAAATATTTGGGCTTGGAAGCCCAAATCAGATTCTGAAAGGAAAGTGACAAATTTGTCCTTACTGCTCATGTTGTCTGAACTAGAAAAAGTAAATGAAATAAAATAGAAAGAGAAGCAAAAAGTGTTAGGCTTTGACCCAATTTAAAAATGGATCTGATTCAAACAATATTTCAAGGAGATAGTCACAAAGAAAATACAATTCATATTTTCTTGAACATAATGGTAACTAATAATTTAACTCATACTTGTTTAGGGTTTGATTTTGTTACACTCACTGTTTAGTGTGCTATGTTTATATTGAACCAAGTAAATGGTGAAAAAGAAGGAGAATATGATGGAATTAGCATTGAAAGAGATGGTGGAAAATGGATATGGATAAGAAGAGGATAATATTGTAGAATACATGGGAAAGGTGGTCCTAAAACTATTGATTCTACCCTTATCATTCCCCTTCCAAATAAGGAATTATATGGATTTCTCCACCACAGCATGTTTGATCTCAGAGTTGTGTGCATCACCACCCTAAAAAGTCCCTCGTATATCCACCATTATCGTGCAGTAGGATTTGGTGGCTATGTGAGTAGATGATGATAGGATGAATTGGATGAATAATGAACAAACTTTATGATGTGCCAACTTATAGGATTTTGGTGTGACCATTGATAGTACTTTTAGGTATTTCTTTTACACAGCGTATACTATATGAGTTAAAATCATTACAAGAAACTTAATCATAGTGACAAATTAATTGCTTAACAAAGCAAGATTAATGCATCTAATGACTATCAAGTAAGGTTTATGGATTTTTTTTCCAACAAAATGCGTATCAAGTATTAAAATTTTGAAATTAAATTATTTCTCATTTTATATTTAATATAATTTATTGTTATTTGGATTTTGAAGGTGGACGAGAATTTAAGAGAGATAAACTCTCTTAAGTTCAACTGAATAGGTGGAGAACAAATGAAAATATTTATAAAAGATGTTCTTATTAAGTAAGTAATTATGTAAAATGATAGAAAAAAAATAATATTTAATAACCTAAAATACAATAAATATAAATCTTATTTCTATAAGTCTTAATATTATAATGTCTTAGATCTATAAAATGTTTTATCATTATTTATTAAATGTATATCGAATATTTCAAGGTGATTTTCGTATATATATTTTGTAACGAGTTGGTGTCCTCAAATATTTCAGATACTACCGAAATATCGAAATATTTGGACACTGTCAAAATATTTTATCCAAATATCTCGATTATTATAATATTAAATTATATTAGAATCAATACATAATTATTTACTATAAAAAAATAAATAGTTAAATATCAAAATACAAGCATTTACATTCAAGTAATTTTTTTATATACATAAAACAATATTTATTAATATATTTTCCTAAAATATAACATGAAATTTTAAATAAGGTGTTTTTTCTAATTTTATAATTTACTAGTGGATAAAAGTGTAATTTATTATTTAATTTTTAAGAACAAATTGTAAATAAAAATAGAATGAACAATCAATTTAGTATTTGAAATTGTAATGCTAGATTAAATTAGCTTCTGAAATTAATAAAGTAATAAATAATTATTCAAATTGTACATTAATAAGTAATAATTAGCCATTAAAATTATAATAAACACTTAAATTAATCCATGAGATAAGTAAAATTACACAATGGTCTCTAAAACTATAAATTATCAATAAATTTATTTTCTAAAATTATAAATGTCAATCAAATTGGTCCTTGAAATTAAAAAGATTTTTTATCCATAATTTGTTTTCGCAAAGTTTGTCCTAAGCTAAATCTTTCCTTCTTTATAACCACTAAGTTTATAGAGTCATTTTATATATGTTTATGTTAAAAATAGAAAAGAGATGAAGTTATTCTAAAATAATTTGAAATACTATTATTTTTCATTCTAACCATTATTTTTCTCTTAATAATTTTCAAAGGTCAATTTGCGTTTAATAATTAAATTAAAATAAATGAAGTTTAAAAATGAGAATTAACTTTTTTTTTAAGTTACTTTTGTAGTAATTCAACCTTTTCTAAAAACAATATATGATATTTTCACAGCATTTTTATTTCATTTTTCTCTTTTAATTTTCAAGTATACGTTTATAATTTGTTTTTTGTATGAAAACAAAATTAAGTTAAGATGATGCACAAATTGTTTATTAAATATATTTTTAATATAATTATATAAATTTATAAGATATACAAATTGATTTACTAATTTATATAAAATTGGTCTGTTGATTAAATTATAATATATATTTTAATTTACCTATTAAATATTAAAAGATGCATGAATAGTTTGTAAATAATAAACTAAAAAACAAAAAAAATACAAATAAAATTATTATTTTAGTGTCTATATCAAGAGAAATTAGTTTCATAAGATTTGTTTTTGGGTAGTTATAAGTTTTATATTTTAAAAAATAAAATTAAAACTAGTTTTTATTTTTAAATGTGAAATTTTACCAACACAAATGTTAATAAGAAATGTGAAATGTAAACCTGAAAGCAAAGTTATTAAAATTGTATTTCTCATTAAGTCGATAACATTATTGAGTTATCAGTGGTATTAATGACTTATTAGTTGAATGTATGCATTGATAGAATTACAATATTATATGGGTATATAATTTAAATTATAATTACATTACTTCTAATATGATGATATTAAATAATTAAATCCAGCAATAAATAAAACTATAACAACACCAAATATAAAAAATTATGATATTAAATAGTAAAAGTTATGCTTCTTAACTATGTGACATTATATTTAATTACAAAAAATATAGTTTATGGAATAATATTTTATATATATATATATATATATATATATATATATATATATGTAAATAAATAAATAAAAGGAGAAGTTACATCACTTGGAATTGGATTTGAAGGGTAGATGAATAAAGAAGAGGTCTCACAATAATGGTTTAGAAAGAGTTAACAGATAGAAGACCACAGATTCAAAATGTGAGAATGATTTTGTAACCCTTTAAACTATCATTATATACTTTTTCCCACTTTTTTTTTTTTAATAAAGTTTGTCTCAAAAATTTACTAACTCCTTTCTTACTCACTTTCGGCTCTTGTTCCTTTGCAGCATGTTAGTTCACACTTAAGACCTCAGCCTCCTATTTTTCTATATTTCAGTTTATACAAGAAATAATAATAATAATAATATATTTAAATAATGGTTTATGTATATTAGAATATTGATTTACTTAATCTTTTATTTAATCAAGATTTTAAGTTTTATCACTATTTTTTTAATTTAAATATACTTTTTAGGTAATTGAGATAGATATACTTTTTTTTTTTGTCTCTATTGTCTTAGTATTCAAATTTTATATTTTTAACATTTTAAATATTATTCTATTATTGATCTTTATATTTAAAATATTAATATTATTTTTTGAAATACATAAAATAATTTAATTTCACCTAGAAATACATATTAAATTAAATACAAATATTATGGTCATGATGCTGAACTTAAATTAGAAATAAAATAATTCGTAACTATATAATAAACTTTCTCTCTATTGTGATATTTTTTTAAATAGACTAAACTTAGGATTTTATTTTATTGCATTTTTGTATATTTCAATTGAAATATGTCGTGCAATCCAAAAATATCATCATTAGTCATGTTAGTTGTTAGTTTTTCTTCGTTTTATATTCACAAATCTATGTTAAATATAATTCTTAGTTTAACGTCACATACCAACATGTAATTTGTATATGGTAATAGATTCAAAGTGTTTGAATTTTGAAGAAAAAAAAGTGTTATAAAACATAAATTATAAAACAAATAATCAATACTAAAAGTTAGTATATTAATAAAAAAACATGTAAAAACTTAATATAAAAGAATGATATATTGTTAATAATACTTTACAGATGAAGTTAAAATATTTTTTAGAGACCGTACATAACAAATTAAATTAGGATATAATTTTAATTAAGAATAATCTTAAATAGACAAATAATAATATATTATATGTCACAAAAACAAAAATTATATTATATAAATTAAATAAAAAATACAATATCATTCTAGCAGGGAAAAAAAATATCTATGGATAGAAATTTGCTATTATATTCAGATATGTGCTTGAAGTTTTAAAACATACTCAGATTTTCCTAAAAGTAAGTTATTTTTTTAATCTAATAATAATAATCATCATAATATATAATAAAACATTTTTTTCTTCAATTAATGTATCAAATGGAAGTAATTGTCACATTTTGAATAGGAGAACCTTAATTAATCACATGACCATGCATGGATAATCTTCATTTACATTTTTTAAAATCTTGGCCCTTCAAATAAAATTTAGTGATATAGA